TTAAAGGTGCGACAAGATAAACAGTGTTTTGCCTTGGGAAAGTCTAACCATTGCACAACAACCATCAAACACCAAGAGCAGCAACCTGATGAAGAAAAGATATGTTTTCTTTATCTACAGAATTGAAGCTCTGCGGAAATGGTGACATAAAGGCCACAATTTCCATGTAACCCTAGGGGGAGATGGAATTGTACATGTTAATGACAGAGCACACGTCTGCGCTATTGTTTTCTCATAGCAGTGCGGGTATAAACACCTGTCTGTTCTGGAGCAAAAACCTACTGAGCTGTCAAACATAGAACCATCAAATTTGTTGTCAGATTTTCCCCAATTTTTTTATAGTAAAGATCCCCTGTGGCAGATACCATATGTTATCCCATGGAAACATGTAGTCCATACATGGCTGAAATATCAGACTTCATATTGGGGCCCTGGATCCACCTGATCACACTTCAATAAAATAAAAAGCACTGAGTTAAAGACCAAAATCTTCAGCGTTGGTGACTTTAATCTTGTTAAATCTGGATATCATCTCAAGGCGCTAACAGTAACAATTAAGCTGCCACACATACACAAAACAAGACTTCTCAAAACTATTGTTCTTTTCAGGTTGATCAAACTGGGTGAAATAATAGGCAATGCTTAGAATTAATGACTCTTGGGTGAATGCATATCCTGTAGAACTGAAAAACACCTTTTGCCCCTTTGGGCTATTTCCTTAGAAAGGCTTGGTCAAAGGTGTGCCCTTTTATACACCTTTACCACAATAGTGTGGGCCAAATACACCAGGTTGGACCACAATAGAAGTGGAGGGGAATGAATTAGTTCAAATGGGTGGCCACTGCCTGAAACTGTGCATGCTGTTTACAGATACTTAGTGTTTTCCCCTATTGTCAAACACACCTTCATGTTAAGTACTGATACAGGGTCTAGTTTCCCTAGTTTGAATAAACCCAAAAAAGAAAAAAGGAGGAAAAAAAGCACTGTCTGGTTTGAGCTGCTAATAGCTTTTAGTCAGAGTGTACCTATGAAATAAAAGAGCTACAATCATAGTTAAGCCCCTGTTACTACTGTTTCACATCCTTTATTTCAAATCCACCCAGCCTGATGGATTGAACCATCAGCAATTCCCTCAACGACCAATGGTGGTACACTTCTAACCAATCAAACCAGGGGAAGTGGAAGTGAGACACGCTAGATATCAATTTAGTAGAGTTCGATATTTTTCTCCCATTCTCAGGTGCTAGAATGAGAAGTGTCTGTCTCTAATGACTCACTAACTGATTATCCTACCAGCCTTTGTTCCAGTCACAGCTTGTGGAAGGTGAGAGTCTATGTCCCAAGTGTTTACTTTGTTTTATATTCTATAGGAAAGGTCAACAATATATTCATTAAGGTGCAAGCTGCTTACAACCAACACAATACAGTCAACTTATGCAAATCTTTCCGTCGAAAGGCATAAGATATATAAATGTAAATACATTAACAGCAGATGAAGACTAAATCCTGACTTAAGTCCTTCGACCAATTTGGTCTTAAACTAAATATAACAAATAAAAGCACAAACAATGAGAACTAACTCCTACTAAGTGCCTTCTTCTGTACAAAAGCAAGTAATCCACAAACTGTATAATTAAATATACATATGAATCACCTCACAAGAACAACACTAAATACGCTGGGGTGGCCAGTGAAATGTGCAGTAATAATACTTAGGGGGGTTTGCTTTGACCACCTAGCAGTGGTCATCCATTACTTGGTCGATAACAACAGCTCTGTAAGGTAACTGTGAAACCCTTCTTTTAACTCTATTAAAGGGATACTTAACTAATCAATGCTTCCATACATCTACTAAGGCTGCGTGGGTATAGATCTATACATTGCAATATGCAGGACCAGGGTCTCATACCTAAACTCACATTGGCATGTTAATTTTTAGCTACTGGCTAAAATATATCTACTTTGTTAAAGGATTTTTTACACGAATAATATTCTTTTTGACTGCCATTCATTGATGAAAAAAAGTAACTGTTTGGTTAATCTAAAATAATTTTAGCACAAGCCCAGTAATACTATGTAGAAATGGAAGGGAAAACTTGCAATCACCTCCCCAAATTGGAAACGGGAATGGGAGTATTATGGAAACTTGCCAATCCTTTGAAATGGACCCTGCAAGGGTTAATAATGTCTGCCCTGTCAGCCACAAACCTGAGTCAACCTTGAGGCTGGGTCACCAACCAGTTAAGTCTTGACACCATTCACAAAAAAATAAACTCCTTGGCTCTCTAAGCCCCCAAAACCATGCACACTATATCCCTTGCCAGATTATCAAGCAAAGATAAAGGGGAGATGAGGAGGGGTGTAAAATTTCCAATTTTCATTCCATTGTGTGATTTAAAAGCAAGAAAAAAATCAAAGCTCTAGAAATGCAGAAAAGAATTAGAGAAGTTTGTGTTATTTCTCTGACTGATCTGTAATAAGAAATGGCAGGTATAGTTACAAATCCCTAGATCTTGTGATACCACAGGGATAGGAGTACAAAGGAGCCTGCTCCCATACATTAGACTGCTGCAACTCACAAGTTCACATAAACTTTTCACTCACTGTCACACTCATCTTTCTGCACCTCGTGTAACATACACAGTTCATTGTACACAATTTCCACTAGAGGAAATAAAAATAGATTAGAAGTACGTTTTTTCATCTACCAACTGAAGAGTTGCATCTTAAATGCCAGAAGAATTTTTACTCAATTTTTTTTTTTATTCTGTCCTCTTCGGTGTTGATTTTTTTCAGCAAAAACCTCAAATCAATATTCTTGACACAGTGGATGCTTTTTTGAAATCCCAAAATTGAATCAATGAAATTATTTTGCATTTGGAAGGTTTCTAAATTAAATGAAAACTGCAAATAGAGCCACGGAGTGAATTGATGTGAAATTCTCTCAACATAAAGAGAAAATATTTGGAACAAGCTGTTTTTGATTTCACACCAGAGTTGAAGAGTCCTGAAATTTCAATAATATTCATGGAAAAGGAAGCACCTGAGATCAGTTACATGGCACAAACACCAAAAACAATATATGGACATGTATACAGACTTTTATGTACTTTTTTCATGTACTTATTTTGGACAACTAAATTGTAACACAAGTTTTCATCTCCCCGACTTGGCTATATTTTCATTCTGATCCTCTTCCCTGACTACATGTATCCCTATTAAAAAATAAATGATAAATAATGATCCTGATCCCCCAATGATTTTTCAAGAAATTTAAATAAGAATTGAACCATCATACATCATCAGCCTTACATTCTGTTGTGTATTGTAATATGCAGATTATGCATATTCTATTCTTACTTTATTGTCTACTACAACTGTATTATTTTTCAGTAATGGTTTAGTCAATAAGATGACTTTGTCCTCTGTCCCACCAGGTGTCCTGACACTGTGTATTGGTTAAAAATAAATTTAACAGGCATTAGAATTCCTCTGCTTGTAAGGTAATTTTCCTCACAAAAACCTACATTGGCCATGCACATGGTTTTCATTACACCATCATGACAAGAACTGTCAATTCAAATAAACACACCAGAGAAAGTACACCGTGAAGTTCTGGGGTTGAAGAAAAATAAAGAAAGGTCTGTTCTTTTATCTAAAAAGAAACTGGCAGGCAATTAACTGGCTTATAGGCCTGTGGTATTAATCTCCTTTCTCTCCTTCTACCTTTATTCCGAGCCAATATTGACTGACAGCTTAGAACTGCTAACTCAAACAATGTCAAAAATCTAGACTAATCTATAACAAATCCAGAATCCAATCAGACTGTCCAAAAACCTTAGCTAGGACAGGCACTTCACAACACTTAACCAATGATATGAACACAATAATTACAAATAATTAAAACATTCACCTAGGGAGTATACGTTTACTCAAACTTTCCATAGTGTGAAACTTCATTGAAAGAAATACATCTGTAATAAATTAAATCACCAATTATCGTGTATTTAAAACTGGTAAGCTGTGCTGATTACTTTTACCTTAGCAATCTTATACAATGTAGCCACATCTAAAGCCAAGTGTGATATCATTGATTAGATTAATCTTCCCAATCACACAACCTAATGAAGTATACAATGTTTTCAATAATTTCCACTTAAGATAAGCACAATCCCAATCCAATGAAATATCCATGTGTTAGGTCAAGCACACTAATCAGGCATTGTTGAAAAGTTCAAACGTTCTTTAAATTTCTAAGGCACAGATTCCTACCTCTGTATTACTTCAGTGATATTATTTTTCATATTTGAACACAGTCTAGTCTGTGCTTGATTTAACCCCAGGCGCTTAACTTATTCAGAGGTAATGCAAATCCTTCACGGCAAGTGAATGTTTTCTTTTCGTTTTGGGTTAACATTAGACACACTGACATCCACTGTGTATGAAGCCACAGAACAGACCAGGAGACCACATATTCTAGTGCACAATGTGATCACCAACTTATTCACAGATCTTTGTACCTTTAAGTTCTCAAATCAATGAACATGTGGGACAAGTTGAGACATCCATGTCGCATGCAATAGAATACATTTTGTGTTATAACTAAAACCTTACTGTGTTGCAACTTATCTACAACAGCAAAATACATTATTTCATGCGATTTAATTCATCAAAAAAGTGAATTTCGTTTCAGTCAGCTTTTTTTTCACTTCGGTAACATCCTTAAATACTACCTGCGCACAAGTTCAACATGTTACTAACGTTACTGACAGTCAGACAAAAGTGCCGGTTCCTCTCCAGACGACATAGATCTAGCAAGATGTCAAATTTTTGGAGTGAATTATTACAATCCCCATAACAGCATACTGTATGATAATGTAACCAGTGGTACATCATTGAGCTAACAACAATCATTCATTAAAAGGCATATTTCAGTGAAACTAAAAGACGGTAAGTAATAATACGTCGCAACTTCAAAACAATCTGATAATGCAACTTACCTACTACTGTAAACATCACTGCGATGCGGGGTACTGGGCGCCGCCAGTTCATTGCAGTTCTTTTCTGCATCACATCCGCTAACTTACAATTATATTTCGTGTTTTCAATAAATGTTAATTCCTTTGATAGCCACAAGATTCCTCAACACATCAACCTAAGTCGCTGCCCGAATGATGCGGGCGCTCGAGATACCCTCTGACCTTGTCAAGATGCGCCCAGCTCGATAGCTCCTAGACTGCAACTTGTCAATTTCAGAAGAGCGCCCTCTATTGGCATTTTTGTTCACCAATATTGGCTTTAGATGATGATTGAAACCTTAATTTGGACCCAGTGTAGTGAAACTGAATCCCAAATACACACAAATAATAGCCATTAGACTTGAATATTTCATGTTTTTCATTGTATACGCGACTCTTCGTCTTCAGTGAGATGCATGATACTCGATCCAAATGCTTGGGGATACTAGGTAAACTAAAGCATTGTGTGCTACTCCTTATTTCATATCTTTCAGACAATAAATTGATACCGAGTAGGTTGCAGCCGCCTGCGCTAATGTGTTAGGTGATCCTTGTCACAGCTACCACATCCACCATTACCAATTATCCTGCGTGAACATCAGAATGTGCTTCTCTAGCACAACCTACGAATGTAAAGCTTTTCAACACTGAGTGACCAACCATACAATAAAAGATATTGGTAGGTCTGGTGTTTTATGCTCATGTAATAACCCCAAGCTTTCCTTATGACTATTTTCCGTTAAACAGAAATAATACTTCCTGAACACGGGGTCCGCTAGCTAGCATTCTTCAATTTTGTAAACTTTTCTAGAGATCCCTGTGGTATCAGAAGGCACAAAAATAACAATGTGCGAGAGCTTTCGGCTCATGCCTTGGTTAAAGCCCTGCAAAACACAATTATAGGCCTTATATCCGGTATTCTGGATATAAAAACAAGTAGACGGCATCACTTCTATCCTAGGTCGTGTCAGTTGTTAAGGTTTTCCCTCTTTTTCCTCTTTTTACCTGTCTATAGTTGATGATTGACTCGGGTCGAGGATACAAATAAAGGTGTCTGTATAAAAAAAAGGCCGAAACTTCAATTACTGAGTGCGAAAAACGTGTTGCTGCCTTGGGATCTGTCAACAGGAGTTCTCTTGAAAGGTAGTTCTCAAGGAAAGAAAGTAAGCCAAGTTGTATCGTTTTGGTTTAACGAAAATACTGGTAGTATTGGGTTCATGGATGGATGCACTTTTAGATTTCTCAGAGAAAGCGCTTTTCGTTCAACAAGTACAGTTAATAGCCTGCAAGTCCGAGTGGGATTGAACTGAACTGAACCTTAGTTCATGTTGTAGAATAAACCCATTGTTAACTTTACTGTGGAGTTCCTTTATCGTATTCTCTAGCAGGTAGCGTACAGCAGTACAAAACATTTTGCATGGGATATTTAGGATATTCTGAAGAGCAAACGTCGTTTAGTTGTTATAACACCATTTATTTTAATTTCCGTGTTATGCTCACGCCTACACATGAGTTCTTCCCCTCTTTAATACAAAGCCGAATCTGCCAGTTTTAATTTTATCTATCTATCTATATATATTCACTGAACACACCAAGAAAACCAGTCGAAGCAAAATGTATGGTTTAGGCTTCCTACCATGTCGCCAATTAAGATTGAGCTTATAATGCTAATAAAAGGCGTGTCTAAAGAGCTGGCAAAAACAGTTTCAGTCTGCTTTCAAAATATCATATCATTATTCTTAACTCCCTAAAGGTTCAAGATCTAATGAGCGCAAGGCGGTTTCAGAGGTAGCGTCGGATCGGGGTGTTGTTAATAGCCGGTTAGTAGGTCTGCAGACGAAAAATAAACAGGTGTTTTCGTTTCCAGTAGGGGCCGTATCAAAATGGCAAATTCATATTGCGTTATGAATAGGTAATTAATAAGTATGCAGTGTTAATTAAAATAACGTCCACTGCAAGAACTGAAAATTCGTCTGTCTTTTGTTTTAATTTGATTAATAATTTCGTTAGTCAAACTGTAAAATAAACAACCATCTGATCCCTGAATACAGTATATGGATATTGCTTCAAAATGGCGGCATGGCTGTGGTGTTTCGTCTCCTGGAGTGCAGTTGCGGCAGTAGTAGTGCAAGGTGGAGAGTAAGTAGTTTTACTCTATAGTTCACTAGTAGTTTGTTTTATGTGGCTCGATATAAACGCATGGAACGCAATGTCCGTGTGCAAGTCTGGAGTTGGCTTCAAAATCCTTCACTTATTCACAAACCAAGCTACATACTGCAGTGTATATACAATGCGAAGTTCAAATACTTGAACGTTACTATGAGGTACCGAGTACGTGTAATGTGTTAGGGAAATGCCAATTGCCTTTTTGATAATTTCTTCATTTTTTGACAGGCTAGGAATGAAATCTCTTTTCCAATAGCAGACTTGTAACGGCATCTTTCTCTTCCACCACCTAAGATTTCTCATATGACAGTAACTATTTTGTTTGTTTGACTCGTTTACTGCTCGGAAAATCACACTTTCACGGGCATATACAGGTTTTATAATTTTTCCTTTCTTTTCAGTATAACTTCCCTTTATGCAGATTTACTTCAAGACTACTTCAAGGATGTCCGTCCCTCAAAGACTGCAACAGAGCCGGCTGAGGTTACACTAAGTCTGGGTCTCCGCAGCATCGATTTTGATCCTAAGAAGGGGGCACTTAAAATAAACGCGTTGTTAAAATTGGTATGTTTCTTTTAAACTAAAGCAATTCTTTTAATTATTTCCCAAGACCAATCCAAGCAATCAATAAATTTATATATAGAACCAGTTGAATCTAGTGTATTGCTGGCTTTTCAAACAGATAGGGCTCATATAGTTCACACCAAAGTTTGATGAGTCTTGGGGCTAAAGTTTTTCCTCATTATTTCATGAGGCTCACAAGTATGCAGTAGCCTATGTCCTTAGATTATACAGTGCATGGAATTCAAAATGCTGCTGTTATTCTTATTGACTGCATTTATTTATCAATCAATTTATTTATTTATTCAGACCTGGATTGACTACAGATTACAGTGGTATCCACCATCTTACAAAAATGCCGATACAATTTATGTGAACGCAGACAAGTTATGGTTACCAGACATCGTACTGTACAACGCGTGAGTGTTTGATGCTGCATCTATGCAGGGAATTATATCCGATATAATTCCCTGATCTATGTGAGACACATAGATCTTGCACAGAGTGCTTGCTACAGTAATTCATTTTCCTCCCAATGATTTTCTCTGTAAGTTTATAGGAGTATAAAGAACGACAGGAGGTATCTTGGAGGATTCGTTTTGCCCTTTGAATGGTAAAAGATTATATTTTAAGATGTGTTTGACATTTGTAGGCTTTGTGAAAGACAGTTATAGTACAATTTATGTCATACTGTAGTAGCACGAAAGCACATCTCTTTTTATTTTCATTTATTATTGTTTCGCGAGCATTCTTTTATTTGAAATGTTAACAATAATTCAGACAAATGAAGATGTATATCAGCTTATACTTCATCTGACATGATGCTATCACTTTTTATATCCTCTCTTTTCATGGCCCACAAAAACTCCAAATAGCTAGGTTTTTTATTCCGTGCCTCGGAATTCATAGCTTGAAAATCACATTTTCTATCTTCTGACGTTTGAATCATGGCAAGTTCTGTTTATTTTGTTTTTTATTTTTACTTGCAAAATAAATCTGCCATCGAATCTGTGATCCCCGATTTCTTTTTTAGAATGGCTCCAACAAGAGATGTAGTGAATGCTCTTGCCACGGTTTCACATGATGGACACGTGGTTTACAAGTCCAGCAAAATATACAGGTATTGAGAATAGTAGTTCAGAACTGTAGCAAGTGGAATTTAATGGAACATTTTGTAGTATAGATTGATTCTACTAATATATGTATAGGCCCTACAGTATAAATCTCAAAATTCATTTTGACAGAATTTCATGAAGTTAGTTTCTCATGATAATGTACAGTCATAATAATTGGTGCCTTATTGTGTTTTACACTTCAAGTCTATGGCTATTTTATTAGTTTGATAAGCTCGGGCAGATATTAAGCCAAACATTTCTTCTTCCAATTTAAGTGCTATTTGTGATGCTGCATCTTCCTCCACTGTCCACCAATGCAATCTAAAATTCGGGTCCTGGATATACAGTGGCGATGAGCTTGACCTTGTGCTGGACGACATGGACAAAAACCAAACCTTCCCTTACGTGGACACTACTGACTACGTGGAAAGTCACTTCCTGGACCTGATCAGCGCCAACGCAACGCGGGTAGTAAAGTACTATGCCTGTTGCCCGGAACCTTATGTCGATGTCCAGTATACTCTCAATCTTCGTGTCAAAGACGAAAAATAATAACTTTTTTGCCACAGCCAAAAAGATTACTTGGCTGAAAAAACTAAAGAGTCTATTTCTTAAATACTCGAGGAAAATATTGACAGTAACATAATGAAAATCACTGCTCTAATGTGGTTAGCAAAGCTTTGTATTGTAAGGTGGGTCTCGCTCGTTTATAGGCGTGTATTCAACACTGCTATAAATCTTCTCTTCTAGAAATACACTAAATACTGCAGTGGTTTTTATGAAAGTCATTACTTGACGATAATAGACGCGTGGGTAAAATGGTTGACGACAAGGTTTATACCCTAGCAGTTGGAATATAAAGGAAAGCCTAGTAATGATAATCGTCGTACATCTTACGCAATAAAAAGTTCTGCGTAGTGCATTCAGTTATCCACGTTAGGTCAATAAGCGACAGTTTATATGATTTTTTTTTCATTATACTTCATATATCGAGAGTAATAGTTTGACGCTGTAGAGGGACTGATTTAATAAAAGGAATATTGCAAATGTAATGCTCAACCAAGGCCTGCTAAACCCTCTGAAATTGTTGGTCGACGTCTGTATTTTCCCTGATAAAATGAACTTATTTAATAATGTTTGGTTAAATAACAACTAGACTAACCAAATTGCATCAGCAGTTTGCAGAGACCAAACACGTAGTACATTTTATTTGACCATGCAAAAACACGATGTATGTCATGTTAAATGTAAACCTAAGGTCCATTTTCTTATTATACATACATACATACATACATACATAGAGAGAGAGAGAGAGAGAGAAAGAGAGAGGAGAAACGATAATGAGCGCTGATTGGTCTCATTCTCATTTTCATTTCGAGTTGTGTTGGCAAAGTACAGAGAACATTTTACAGCTTGCGTAGTCGAGACCAAAGTTTCTAAGTTGATAAAAATAACATCTTTTCTGCCCAATATATAAAATAGTCTACCCTAACAAGCAAGTGAAGGGTAAAGGTATTGTTTATTTTGAATAAAGGTGTAAGCATGATATAGACCTTCTAAGATGCCTAAACAGCTTCTACAAGAGGCAACAGCAAAACCTTATTATCTTCTGTTTATAATAAAAAAACAGCTGGAAGAGTGTAAATCAATCTCTAAAAAAAAAGAAAGAAAGAAAGAACGGAAACGGCGCATTTCACAAATACTCGGCCAGTGTAAATAAACCTAGTTTAACGCATATTACAAAACCTCACTGCATTGAAAATAATGTCCTGATATTCAACTTGTAGCTTAGCATCCTTTCCAAATGTGTTTCCAAATTCCACAACCAATATATATATATATTCCGAACTCAACCCATAAATTGCATGCCATGCGTATACCGCCCCTTTCTCATTAGCGTAGAATTGATCTCGCAAGATGGCGACCTGGGGAACCACTATGCTGCTAAATCTGCTCTTTATCCATTGCATGACAGTATGGGCGCTCGTCCTTGCTCAAGGAGCAGAGTGAGTATTTATTCTTTCACAGAGGAGCTGCATCACTTTTTGAACATTCTTAAACAGCAAGGTTTTGATGAAACAAGAGCATATTTTGTCCAGAAAGTAGACGATACCGTACGCCTTAATCTAATCGATCTCGGGAGATCATGTGCAATAACCTTTTCGAGCTAGTGTGCTATCATTGGGTAATATCAGTCAGTAATCAGTTATATACACACACAAGTAGTATCAGATATATTGCTTTCTCGCAATGTTTTTAGATCTACTAAATATATATGTATCGTAATGCACGGCTTAAGAAAAAATTCCAAGGCTGGTCACCACCTATAAATCAACGTATTGTTGTTTTGCTCTTTCTGTTGGCATTTAATGCTGAGAAGTCGATGGAAAAACCACACGAACCGTTGACCACCATGGGGAATAAAGTATAGGACCTACTATATTTCATAGCTCCATTGTTCTATGTTTCAGTGAGGCAAGACTCAAAGTCTCGCTGTTCCTGTCCCGAGGTTATTCTAAGGGTGTCATCCCATCGGAAAACCCGGAGGCTCCACTTCAAGTTACACTGAGTTTAAAACTGATAAAGATCCTGGATTTCGACGTGAAAAGACAGTACATTTCCTTTGTAGCATGGCAAACAATGGTAGTTGATTTTTTCCCTTTTTTTGTATAAATTGATGTGTTCATAATATATTGGAGAACTCTATAAACTGCAAACACTAATTGCATGTACATAAAGAGAATTTCTCCACTTCTCACCATGCGAAAAATGAAAATATGGTACAATTTGGGTCATTTTCAGCTATCGCAGGCCTCATTTCAGGTGTGGTTTATAAAATCCGCCATTTTACTAATTGACAGAAAAAAAAACTAGTTATGTCAAGGCTTTGTATCAACTGCTTGGTTATATCAAGAATTGAACAGTGCAATTTTAGCATCAACACAATTCATTATGTCATCTCAGTCAGGATACTCACATACCTCTAGCTAAAATCTAATTTATCAAATTGCTAATTGAGCCGAAGTATCTTTTTTCATTTCAGATGTGGAAAGCTGACAATCTTCAATGGACTCCAGCCTCTTTCAATGACGTGAGCAGGATTGCCGTGGCGGCCTCTCAAATATGGGTGCCGGATATTCAGCTGATGAACGCGTGAGTGATACTTAACTTGGCACCGTTTCTCCATAAGCAAGACGTATGTTAGCTTTTCGCCATTTAATCAAGAGAACATTCCGTTGCTGTAGATGTTTCCTAGTGTTTGCCGCTGATGAGTATACTCCGTAACAGCATGGCGGCGTTGTTTGATGTCTTTTCCCCACCTGTCAAGATTATCGTGATGTAATGATACACATATTTCATCTTTATACTTAAAATGACCTTCCAAATTTGTTTTTTTTTTATTTCTTTTAAACCTCAGAGCTGCACCTACGGAAGATATCACGACCAATGCAAATGTTCGACTGGCCAACAATGGCGAGGTTATATATGTTCCGTCTAAGAAATACACGTAAGTGATTTTTTTCTTTCGGTATCAGTACACTTTAACAGAGGCCCCTCCAGCTGTTAGAAAACAGGTTTTGTAACTGTTAGAACAGCTAGAAGGTCGTCCGGTAAAGAGTACCATATCAGTGCTTACTACCCTACTGCTGGGACGATCGATAATTTAATTACTGATCCAAGTGACCACTGTTGCAAGCCAGTGTCAGAAGAGTATGCAGGATTTTTATACAGATCTTATAAACGGATTTGGCGTTTCCAAACTCGAGTCTCAGGGACCATTCCCACAGATATTTGTATCGATCTATCTCCCTGGGGAGTCTTACTAAAATTTCTGTCAAGCTTAGTAAAGCTGTTAAGGGTGGTAATTATCTTTACCCTAGCAGATTCGGTAGGCGTGACAGACAATTAAGCCGGCTAAGACCGATCCAGATAGATTATCGTTTATTACTATATTGTCTCGTCTAACTGCAGTTTATCACTGCATATCGTGGCACCTTTTCTCTTATTTATTTATTTATTTATTTATTTTAATTAAAATCATTATTTCTTTCGATTTTTTGTTTATTCTTTATCTGTTTTTATATCTATTTATCTATTATAATGATGATGATGATGATGATGATGACGATGCAAATTTCAGAGCTAGCTGCGCCACAGATCTTAATGACGAGGTTCACGAGTGTAAGCTGAAGTTCGCGTCCTGGGTTTATCCCGGCGACCAGCTGGACTTGGTAGGGGACGACCTCGACCTGACCGAATATAGCGCTGATATGGAGTGGAAATTGCTGAACGCCACGACGGTGCGTAACGCTAATAAAACTATCCCTGACATAACCTACACACTCAAGCTAAGCAGGGATCGTTCAGCAGGTAAGGCGAGATACGAATTAAAGACATTTGTTAAGATAGGCTTTTCTCTGAACACCCAAACCCAATATAGAAGTGCAAATGAGGTCATAGGCATGCTCTTTAAAATATTTAGTGCATAGATTCCAAACTATGCTTGATTATTTAAGGTCCCACAACTTGTATCAGAGTTTCACTCTCCTGGTACCATGAATAATAAAAAACAATTCATCGTCTAGCCCCACAAAAGGAACGTACGTTACTGTCTCAAACGCAGCTGTGAACGGTTTACTCACTTTGAAAATTCATTCATCACTGGTTTTGTTCTCCTACAAGTATAACATTGTAAAAATTATGATAATCTTCTGTATAGAGCAGTTGTTTTTGTTAATTGTTTTTGAGCGACTTGAGTTTGCTTGTCACTGAATGTTTAAAAAAACGATGAAAATACACCCTACCGACAGTAAAATAAGCATTAAATAAACTAATTTCCATTCGTGGTCCAAATATTGTGTCAGAAATACCAAACTATCATGGAATCAATATAAATTTTCAGTCAGCAACAAAAATCCCCGTTTCCTATTGCACCAAGTACTTGGGTAAGATGAAACTTTCTGACAATTTTTCTGGGGAACATACGTTACATAGTATTAAACATGACGCAAAGCACCTCGAGTTACAGTTTAAATATTTATAAAACTTCCTTACGTTATGTATAACTATAACTTACCTTAACTGAATGACTATACAACATATATCGGAACGCGATATAAAATTTTTAATCAAATGACCCGGAATAAAGACAATTATCAGTCGTGGATTTTTATTCTATACACATATATGCTTTAAAATTGAATACAACTGTATTCATTCAATTTTACTTTTTGGATTTTTCAGCATGTGAAATGCACCTGTGTATTAGGTTTGGGTGTGAAATGAAATATTTTATAATAGAAAAATTATTTTAAAAGGATACATTACCGTGTTTATTACTGATATGTTACAACAAAACATTGTCTTCTTTACTTTGTGCAGATACAAAAGGCAATTTACGAAATATATTGTTTGCAATACAAGACAAAAACACGAGAAAGTTTTTGATTAATTATAAATTCTGAACATAAACATTTGCATGAGATACGAAAAATTGGTTTTTGGGTGTCATGCTTATTTTAAAAGCGTTATTTAGTGGGCTGCGAGTTGGACCTATTACAAAATACATTGTGACCTTTCTCTCTGTATATTTTTCTTCCTAAGTATACCGACCGCTTGCTATTTCAAGAACTTGATATCGATAGCTTTAGGACATATACACAACATTGGCAGTCATAATGCATAATATTTTCTCTCAATTTCAGACGCTGGACCCGTAAGCTTAGGAGCGTCTCACATCATCACGTGGCAGCTATGGATTCTAGTAGCACTAGCTCTAGCTTGGCAGCAATAGCAACCATTATATTAAGGAATTCATTCGAAGTGCCTGTTTCTTATATGTAAACCGATCTCAAGTGGTGCCAAAATGGAGATGCGTCAATAACTTGCATCGCCGCCATGCAAGGGCAGTTGAGATAGCATTAATTTTTTAATATGATATTAATATTAGACAAGAGAAATATGTTAGATCTGTATTTTATGCTGAAGTCCGATCTCTCATTGGCTTCATTTTGTTACCCCCTAAACAGTCATACTAACCCTTCACGTTTTTCTTTATGTTGTAAGTTGATGCTACTAGCCATCTGTTCAGCTATGATTCATCTCTTCCAAAACCAATCAATTTTCCATTCACGTGCCCTACATATTATGGTATATTTGCTTTGTGACCCCCTACCCCCTATCAGAATCCTGGATCCGCAAACGATTACTAGTAGGAGATGAGTTTTCAAATTTTGAGTATATATATGGTGGAATAAAAAATGTCATATTTTGGAGAAATGTGTTATTGATTGGTGGAACAGCATTATTGTAATGTGGTGTATTAAACTGGCGCTTTTCCATTATCTTAGGGTTCAAGAGGTCGACGGGTTACCATGTTTTTTTTTTCTTTTTTTTGAGTTGCAACTGCGTTTTTAATAAGATGTCCAGAACAAAAAGACCTGATCAATTTTCCCAGAAACATGAGCAGATTTTATCTATGATCGGTTGGTAATCAAAAGTTCAATTGGCCTCGGTTGTTGTCACACCAAGTGTTAAACGACCAAGTTTTCCAGATATGATACAAATGTTTGAGAACGTTTGAAGAACGTCTGCCTTGCGTGATCTTTACATCAAGACGTGTTGAAAACGGTTTAAAAGGCTGATATTTTACTTAAGTTCCTTAGAGGTGTTATACGCACGTTTTAAATACCAGAAGATGTCAAGGACGCCTCTGTTACAAGACCAGTGGTTTGCTGGGAAGATGCGGTGGCTGAGATGAAGCGATTGCGGCGGGATGTTCACACAGCTGCAAATGGAACAGCAACAGCAATTGGGTTTTTCAGCAAAGGTCAGTTAATTAGTTTTTCATTAGTTGCATTGATTAATTAACATACCAGAAAGAGTTCAATGTCTCGATGTACAGAATTTGATTTTAGTTGGAGAGAAATTTATGCAAACAGATAAAGCACCCTGGTCCAAAGTAGTATCTATTTCAGGAGCACACAGTGGGCCTTCAGACTTCCCTGGGAAAATTGGCTTGTGGGGCTCGGGAAGACTCTCTCTGTCTCTCTCTCTCTCTCTCAAGATTAACAGAAGATCTTGTTTCACACATGTAGCAAAAATAGGGATTTCCCTGCCATCTAGTTTAAACTTAACCTACTCGGTGGGTGCACAGCTCTTGTTAACGTTGTGCCCAGGGGTACAAAAATAAACTCAATATGCAAATCAGAAACTTTCGATAACGCTTCCTCTTTAACTACGGAAATTAAGAAAATATTATGAAGATAACAGAATCGATTGTGCATTCTAATACCCTTTATTAGAACAATCCCCTCCGGGGTCAGGTAACTTCCATCACATTCAAATAAAGAAGTTGGATTTATTATCCTATCAAAAAACAAAATGTAGCTTTTACAATTTAAGCCGTGCCCAAGTGGTCATATTTTGCTCCCTTCAATACTGTGTCCAGACACGAAGAGTGAATTTGATGCTGACCTCTACCGAGATGTCCAGACACGAAGAGTGAATTTGATGCTGACCTCTACCGAGATCAGTTTTGCTTCAAATCCTTACGGTGTAATTACAACATGTAGAGACCATCAAAATCTACTTGTTTATCTTCGTTTCTAGAAGGTGCTATAACCTACCGAAAGTTATTTATAGAGATTTGGCATCTAGGTAAAGGCAAAAAGGCCACAAAAAAGTCATAATGCCGGAAAAAATTCGCTGAAATGTCTGTTGGCCCGTGAGACCTTTCTTTCCGTTGCCAAACAAGAGAAACTTTTTTCCTAGGGCTGCTCTGATTGTGGTCTTTTTAGTGCAACCGACTTTGCTGTTACATCTGTCTTGCTTCTTGTATGATATACTTTATTTAAAATCAATGAATCTGGGGGAAAGGAACTCGATATGTTTTGCTCACAGTTGTGAACTAAACCTAATACCAAATATTTAGCTTATTTCCGGGCTAGAATGAAACTCCCAGGCAAAAATCTATGTTATCGTTTTTTAGCAGATGTCGAGGTAGTCAATTCCGTGGTTAATGAAGATTTGTCTGCCAGGCGAGACTCAGAAATACTGTTCTCAATTCTCAAAAGTTGAATGTTCGGTTCAAGATTCGACTCGTTTTTGGAAGGGCAATTCCAGCAATTTATTCAGTTTCTCATTTTCCCTAATTCTGCAGACACGAAATAAATGTAATCTGACCTGACAAGTTGACAAGTTACCCACTGGCAGAAATTGTTGTTGTTGGTCTGAAGAGGTGTGCTGGGACAGCAGGTCGCTGGACCTTTTCTGAGCCTACATGTGATTCAGAAGTTTTGTTTTCATAGCTGTTCTATAGATGTTTTATTTGTGGACATTTTAATCCTTCCTCAAGTTATTACTTTTCTACATAATTTTGTGATTGTTCTTGGACTATTATGGTCCACTGTAAATAATAACTGGATAGCAAGATTATTCGCAGAAGTCCTTTATATAAAGTAAAAATCTAAGATGACAATGAAATGTTCAAACTACAACTCTGATTTATATGTGGATAGACTCATGGAAAAATTGACCTAAAGGACCAAACCGATTTTCGGTCTTGCCCTTGAACCGCGGGGTACCCCTGAAAACGCTGAAGAACAATATTATACTTCCCTAAGAATAAACATCGTTAGTCTAAGAAATTACACACCTGAAAGAAATCGCATAAAACGTATTTACCTTTGCCATCTCATCTTTTGGAACGTGTAACTTACACGGAACAGAAAATGAACGGTATATATGTTGTTACACTTAGAGACTTTGTACATTTGATGAAAAAATAAAACTCTAATGAAAACTATGTTAGTTATAGAGTTTATTTCTGTAAGACAATTTTAATGTTGGTGATGTGAAAATCTTGAAATAACTCAAACCTAATTCAAAGTTGGAAATTCTGTTTCTGTGTATTATGTTTGGAATGGTAATGACTCACATATGTTAGCAACGGTTTTCATACACTGAAACGGCATTTACAGGTTTTAGAAATAGTTCAGCGGTCACTTTAGGGCAAAAGGTTCAAGTAGCCTCTCAATCATCTTGAAAAATTGCTACGTGGTCAAAATGACGGAGAAATTGCTGAAATACAATATTGTTTTAAAAGAAATTCTTTATTCGTGGTCTTTTGATTTTAAATCGATTTGGCCTACTAGTAATTTGCAATGCCTTATTACAGTTGAGTTTCTTGTAAATATTTTTTTTGTAATTATCTTGGCAACTGCATTTTAAAATAGTTTTGCCACATTAGTTTTTAAAAACAGTCAGCCTATCTCATGTGTTCTTAGCAATGCTTTGAGCCAGTTGAGCAGAATGCATTATCTGTAAATATAACTTAACTAAAAATGCTTTTTATCTGTTTATTCATTCATTTTGCATGGCACTGTTTGTTGCATAACATATATTTTGTCTCTAACCTAACGTCACGCTAGCGCCCATCAAAGTAACAAGTGGAACCTAGTTGGAAGAAATTACCATTCTAGAGATATAAGTATCCAATTTTATTCTTGATAAAATAATATTCGACAACTTCCTTCTTGCCTGTGGTGTTCAACTTTGGAAAGTTTTTTTACACAGGCTGTAGCGTGGGGAGCCGGACACGAGGCGGTTAGTGTTTCAGACCAGCCGAAATTATTGACTGCATATTAGCATATGTCAAGTTTTCGTTCATATGTGGTAGGATGGTGTCGGGGTCACAGGGCTTTTGAAAAAAAAAAAAAAAACGTTCGGTGATTCGTTCGTTAACAGTGACTATATGCCGTTACCTTTATTAAAAAAGTCTGCCACGGGAATCGTGTCAATATAGGGATCAAAGATAACTAACACATCTAAGTAAGTAATCACGATCTGCAGCTGAAACTTAATACGTCGCTACGTCACGCTGTGCGGAGCTTTTTGCCATGAACCTTGGTTCTTCTGCAGGAACACCGAGAGAGATGGGGCGTGCAGGCAACAACGCGCTGTGCAACACTTTGCTTTTCTGTAGCATACTTGCCTATCTTACCATTGGAGCCCAAGCCCAAGAGTAAGTTTTATTTGAATTAATGCACGACGGTTCTCATGCGATTTGGTAACACATTTTGCCATTCTTGTGTTATACCAATGTAACTAGAAACAGTGTCTGGGTTCATATTTTACATTCAATCGTGACTTCTTTGGTGTTTTCTGATTTAATGTGAACAAGTGAAAACAATTACATTGACTATTGAAAAATAAGCGTTTTTTAAAATAACAATAATAAACAGCTTTGAAGATCGAAAGGCGTAGGCCTACATTCTATGTTACGGAGAGTAACAAGCTTTAGAAGATATACAGTTTGCTTTAAATGCTTCCACGTGCACTCTAACAAACGTGTTGCTTTACATTATTTATTTAAATTTGAAAAAAATTGAGGCAAATTTTAATAACACATTAATTGCCGTTTTGTGTCTGAAATTAATTTTTATATGTTCATTAATATACAATTAGCAAACCTTCATGTACAGCACCCATACAAAATATGTACGCTTAATGTTCTGTTTTTCATCGGGTAACTTGATAGATGTCATCTTATCATGTTTTCGCCTTCTTGAACCACTTAATTGTTTTTCTTATATCCTGATAAAACAGTTACCCGTTGGAAATCGGTATTTTTCTGAAATATGGTGTTTGCTCTTTTTCACAGTGAAAATACCATTTACGAGCGGTTGTTTAAAGACTATGACAAAAATGTTCGCCCTGCAGTGAATATATCGTCGCCAGTGCCAGTGACTTTCAATCTGATATTGAGGAAGATCCTAGAGTTCGATCCGGAAGATCAATCCATTTCCTTTGCTGCATGGCTGCAGATGGTAAGATTTAGTGTTGCATTTACACAAACCTTCATGGATCACCCTGAATAAGAACCTATACGTATTGTGTGTATTGGCGTCAACATTGAATTGTTCTGTGCAAGTTAAATGATAAAACCGCCCAATAACCCAAATTGCCTTCTCACTGTCTCCTCCATAACGCTCACAATATGAGTTAGTTAGCTTGCACCCCCGGGAAATTTTTCTCATTGCCAACCTGCTAGAACCAGACGATTCACCTGTATGTATTACCTTTACCTTGGAGGTAAGCATTAGACACGCAACAGCTGGAACGGGCTTAATGTTCCATGACATATCAGAGGTATTGGACGTGGGGATAGGGTGTATTCAATGTCATATATTTGGTTTAATCGGAGAGGTGAATTGATGGTTTTCTGAAGCAATGGGCAAAACGATGAAAACTTACCTGATTCGGATTCCATCTTATTATTAGGCAAAAGTGCGATATTTCACAGAGAGTAAAATGTCTAAACATATTCATGATTTTGTCCCCCCTCTTGTGAACGTAGGCCTACCACTTATTTGGCAACTAGAAAAAGCCCAGTTAAAAATAAGCTAAGGGTCTGCATTCTTGAATATTTCCCCCTGACCCTAAGCACCCAGTTCAAGCAAAACACACCGAAATTGTATATTTTCGTCCCTTCCCACGGTTTAGCAGTAATTGCTTTTAAAATACATTTTTTGGCTCAGTTATATAGGTTTCAGAACTGCTTGTTTTCTTGTTTTCTGCGTGTATTCTTGACATCGATGAAGTGGCACCGTCAGGTTCATGATATCCAAGCTCAATATTGGATATAACGGTTAATCGTGTGAAGTTCAGAAGGACCTCTTCACTGGCGGAACCAGGCTTTGGCGTTAGGGAAAGAGGGGGCGGTGACAAATATACAAAAGAGTCGACGAGGAATTTTAACGTAATACGTACGGGACAGGATTGGATGAAATACTTGGTTTTGTGTCGTTCCAATTGTTGCATTGTGTTCTTGGTTAAACGAGGTACGTATTCCCCCTGTCTCTTCCCCTTGAATCCGCCACTGCTCCTGATGAGATCTTTGTGGGTTTTTCTGTTCGCTTTTAGTGCATTGATTAGTAAGATTAGTGAGAAAGCGTTTTCTCTTTTCCCTTGGTAATACACTGGACTGTTGTTGAATTTAAACCAAGGAACTTTACCGAATTCACTGTGCAGAACTAGTTTTTCCTGAGTAAAGTTGTCAGGTGGCGTAGTGTGTGATTCGTGTCCGTGTGCTCGTATAGGCGCGCACTTGATGGGCGTTTTTGTTTGGGTTGACCATTTTTGTTTCAAAGTATCGTATGAACTTTAATCGACCCTTTTTACACGTTGGTGGGTCTGTTTTTATTATTTCAATCTGAATAAATATTAAAAGTTGAAACAAGTATTAAATGTTAATGTCCATGCACTGCTTTCCCTTTAGACCTGGGAAGATAAGAGGTTAGTGTGGTTTCCAAGAAACTTTGGCGGACTAAGTGAACTAGAAGTTCGTGGTGAAGATGTGTGGATACCTGATGTAGAGCTCTATAACACGTGAGTTGATATGGCAAATAAAATATGTCATCATTCAGTGTGATCCTAAGTAAATGTTTTTAGTTTAAACCCGTTTATTTTACCACTGAAACTATTTCCGTATTTGTTACTTAACTATCATAAAAAAATAATCTGGCCCTGCCCCCCCCCCCAATAGTTTGCACGTATGCCCTCCTTGAATAAGAATTTTTAAATTGCCATTTTAAACCCTTTTACTTCCACCACTTATTAATCAACAGAAGACTGTGGCATTTAGTGTTGTTCTTCGTTATCTTTATAAACTGATAGTTTTCTAAGTAGTTATTAAGCGTAGAAAATTAGCCTTCTTCATGTCATTAAATTATTTGTTTTTAATAGAATTGGACCAACAGAGGCCCTCACGGATTTTAGGGTTTTGCTTCAGAGTAATGGGACCGTAATATATGTACCAGCCAGTACATTCGTGTAAGTTAGCCAAGGAAATATCTTTTAGTTCATAAATGAAAGGCTCGTATAACCATAACACTTGGATTGTATTGTGGACTATAATATTTAAGTCAGATTCCTAGAGATGAAAACTTCTAAAATCGTGGTTTGATTGAAAGAATGAAATTGCAATCTTTTTTTTTCAAATAAAAGAAGTATATTTTTGGCAAGGTGAAATCAGCAAAGCAAATTCATCAAGGTGAAAGAGACTACATGCATTTCTTACAGAGCAAGTTGCCCTACTAATCTTACCGATGAAGTCCATCGCTGTACTTTGGTATTTGGCTCCTGGGTTCACAGTGCCCTTAAGCTGGATCTCCAACACAAGGCATATGCCCCAACATTGCGGGAGTACACCCCTAGCCACGTGTGGGAGCTGAAGGGAGTCTCGGTGGAAGAGTTGATCAAAATGTTTGACTGTTGCCCACAGCCGTACAAAGAGGTCCGCTACACGCTGGAGCTTAGCAGAAAAAACGGCAAGTAACATGGTAAACAGAATCACTCTTGTTGCGTGGATTCTAAGAGAGACCGTAAAAGAGCCTGTGTATGTGTCGTAGTCATGGATTTAGGGCTGAAGGGGCGGTAGGGCCATGGGTAGGGACGGACTTAGCGGCATAGACCTGTTAAAAAGTTCCCCTCCAAACTTTTAATCATAAAAATGGTAACTCAGTATTTTTGCTAAAATATCTTTCAGGTTGGAAAAAAGATTCAGAACTAAACAAATAATCCATCTGTTAAGTAAGTAAATTTTGGGAAAATTTGTTTTCTACTTCAAATTTAACATCCACGCTGATTTTTTTTTTCAGAGACGCGAACTGATGCTTTTTGTTGCGCTTTTTTCAGGTTCCACGAGTTCAGCATGGATGCCGCGTCTTGACTGGAAATTCTTAACCCTACTATTAGTCCTTTGTTTTAAGATCTAAGCCGAGATGTCAGATTTTCACTAGATTTTCTCTGAAGGGTGCTTTGTCACTTGATTTTCTTAGTATGATGCTTGAAAAAAGTGTGCTGACCTAATAGGAATTTGCTTCTCAAACACATACTTAATATCTCTTAATATCTCTAGGGGGAAAAGTAGGTTTCTTCTCACACATGACACCAATACTCATTAAAGGTTGATATCAAGAAAGAAACTTTATCTACTTTTCCCCATGCATATTAAACTTTAACGAGAATGTCATTTATATATAAATACATGTAGACTTGCATTCTTGTCTTTAGGTTTAACCTTTTTCACGTTTGTAATTTTGTATTTTAGCCTTTTTAACCTATGACGCCAAATAAGGTTGAAAAAAGGAGTTGAAAGTACCTTTTACTTTAACTGTTTTTGTGTTCAATGTCGCACATGATTTGTATCGGACTTAATCGAACTTGTGCGGCTTAAACTGATCTTTGTGTTAGACATAAAACCAAACACCATACTTGGTATGAGTAAATAAATGTCTTAAAGACGCCGCAAAATCGTACACTTTTTTGTTCTCGATAGTGATATGGGTATAAGTGTGTAATAAAATCTTTAAGAAATTTAAAGAAAAAGCCCATCTCGGAATAAAAGTTTCAGCGCAGCTGCTGGATATATTTCAAAACGTCTGGAGAGACTAATATACAGTCATTGAATTCGTGAGGCATTCGTTGTCTGAAAAAAGCACCTCAACATGCCGTGTGAAACACCATGCTACTTTCAGCGGTGTAAGACTTGGAAGGGCGTTTCTCAGACATGAAAAATATGAAAATTGAATTTATTTTGACAAGTAGTGAAAGCAGTGATCTTTCGCCATGGATTTCATAAATTTGAATTTAGCTTTAATTGTTGAACTTTTAACAGCTCGTTTTAAGAAGCAAGCAAAGGTTCTCATGTTTACAGCAGTTCACTTTGCTTCCGACATAAATTCTGCACGATATAATGTTGGAACAACTGTAATCTTGGAAATGAGGGCTTGTAACCAGATCCAGAACTTGCCGTTCGCAATAAACATAATTTGCATCGATCTTTTAATTCAAAAGCTAAACAAGTCATTTTTATTTCGTTTTATTAGATTATCTCGGTTGATGGGACTTACAGTGTTCATAATGTTTATAACTTATTCCACTGGTCAAATTAATCACCTAAAATATGATCAATCGTCCACTATTATTGAACATTCTAAATAAAGATTTATCTACTTTTCCAACTTCTATAAATGCCAAAGAAGACTTCTCTTCCATCTAATGACAATACATTTCAAATTAAGTAAGTGGGAATGATATCAATCTTCAGTTCAAAAGAAGTTTGGATAAAATCAAATCGGAACTTTCAATTCTCCATGATATATATATACTGCTAGCTTTGTGGCTGCTTTCACCCAGGGTGAAAGTTTTCTCTACCTACATCAATATAATTCCTTTCCTCTATTACGTTGCAGCAACACCCAGAATTCTAGGCTCATAAATAACTTTTTTTCTGACACAAACTATTTAGAAAGCTTATCTTATAGCGTGTGGAATGCACTACTGTAATATCCAGGTAGACCTTGACCCAGTTATACCGAAACTCCCGTTTTTTTATCCAAAGAACATCATGACTCGAGAAAGTCTGGCTGTCTAGGCATTTTCAATTAAATCAAGTCTTACTAGTGCCTCTATATAACCTTTGCTTTAAAGATGAAATAGATAAATTAAATCCAGAACAATAGTTTATTGGTGAAATTTCAAGAAAAAGTTGCCATATACAATGACAAAATGGACCACCACCAAACCTCAATTACAACAGTCATCATTTAGCAATTTCTTTCAAATCCACAGAGTTCCTGGCAATATATCCTACAGTGCACTATGCCTGTACCCCTTCATTCTCCCAGTGATATTTTTTTTGCATGTCATAACAAATGCAATTTTCTTTTTCAATCAATACATGCACTGGAGAAGAAAATATCACGACTGACTGCCTTTAGTCTAGACATGTTCAGAGACACTAATGTTATTATGCTATTCATCATTTCCATTTTTTAAAACATTTACACTGGTATTATAGCAAATATCTGGAATCTCAAATATGTGGAATCCCACAAAGATATTAATTTTTCATTCACCAATGCAATATTTCTAATCATTACACGCATTTTCAAACATTACAGCCTGTTCATTTTTAAATGATGCAAGCATCTCCAATTATAATTTTTATTTTTAAAAATCCTATTCCGCAGTCATTCTATGATTGGACTTCAGTTGTTCATGTGCAGACACAAAATCACAACTTTGCCTTCCCCGAGCCAAGGACAGGCTTGTTACTGCAGAACTCTGCCCACCAACTTGGTCTCTCCAGAACATTTGGGGTCTGAAGCATGGCACCATAGAGGTTTTTGTAAATCTGAAAATATTCAACAAGGCAATTATATGTTAATCTGTGCTATGATGGAAAATATTAAACACAGCATACATTTGTGGTGACTGGTCAATGTGGCCAATAGTTAATTGCTCTCCCAAGTCTTCTCTATCACAATTCAGTCTCATGTATTCATTTAACAAAAGCAATAGCAGATGAAGACTAAAATAGGTTTGCCATTTTTGAGATATGTAGTTTTAATCTGGTATTACAGCAAATATTGCTCGTATCTTTAAAATAATTTGACTCCAACTTGATAGTGTGCTAGTTGCAATTTGAAACAAGTTTAAAATTTGACGATCAAACAAGATGATCCCACCTGTCCATCAGACAATCCTATGGGGGAGTTGAGCACAAAGTCAGTGGGGGCTATGACATCTGCCAGGGCCACAGCCTCATCCTTGAGGACAGTGACCAGGTGAAGAATGGCCTCACGGATCAGTCTGGTTGGTTCACCACCTGTGATGTAACCACCTGAAATGGGAATGGCAATATTGGTTAAATAAAAAGTGAAAGGGCGTAAAAGAACAGTGTTGAAACCAAGAAAATCTGTAACTCTTAGAAGTTGAAAGGTCCTTGTAACTGTTTGACTTGCTGACATTGTGAAAAAATGTTATCTTTGTTGCACATGCTTCTGCTCATATTCAGAATAAAAATATATCGATCAAACAAGGTAAAACATAAAGCAGAGAGAGAGAGAGAGAGAGAGAGAGAGAGAGAGAGAGAGAGAGAGAGAGATGTTCTCATACCTTCATATAAAGAAGCCAGATGTTTCTCTAAACTCCACAAGCCATACAAGCTGACCAATTTCCCCAGGACAGGCTGCAGGTCTTTGGGGGTTTCATCATCTGTGGCTTGTTTATAAAACCTCTGCAATACTATGTGCTGGAATGAAAACATAGGATGGTCAATAATAGACAGTCTTAACATGACAGCTCTATATTTAATCAGAAAAACAAACTTATTTGTCCATGTAAACTGCATGCTGGAAGTCATCCATCCACTTGGAAATGATGACAGGGCATAAAGTAAAAAGGTTGCATATAGGTCTTTTCAGATTAATACAATAGATTCTATATATCTGAGCTACTTTCAGACTGGAAAGTTTGTGTGATTTAAAAACATTTAGAAGTTTAATCTGATACCAAAGAGATTGTAATTTCAAATTATGGATCTCGGAATAATAACACCAACTTTTAGATCTTTCCTTCCCCAACCTACCTGGATATAAGCAATGGCCAGTGTCCTGCAGTAGTAAACCTGGCTGTCATTCCTGGCCTGAAAACTGTCCTTCCCACTCTGTAACTCATGCTGGAGTTTCTCTGCACTCTGCTGGAGCAGGTAACACACCAGCCACTCATAGGCTGCCAGGGAAACTGGAGAGAGGTGAGCAAGGTTTAGAATACGTCTCTATTTGTTATGTCCATTTGTTATGCAGTACTTGAATATAACTATTTATCAAAGACAAAGTTTGCTCTGATAGTAGCATATGTTAATTGTATTTTCAATCTTCTCTAAGACCCCATTCTCATAGATTTTAGATCGATCTATCCCTGTGAGGAGTCTCACTAAATTACTGTCAACTTAGCCGGCTTAAGCGTCTGTCCCGCCTACTTAAAGCTGTAAGGGGGTAATTAACTACGGTGCGCGCTCTGCTGACTGCAATTTAGCGTGAACCCCCAGGGAGTTAGGTTGATCTAAATCTAAATCTCTGGATAGATCTAAATCTCTGGGAATGCACCCTAAGATATACTACTACTACAACTACTTCTAAGAAACAGACCCCATTCACATTAAACATAGGTATTCTAAAATTGTTCTGACAACTGCTAAAATGTGTTGTCTTTTTGTCTGAACAAAATTAATAGTACCATACTAAATATAAAGTAATATGACATAATGGTTACTTAACATGAGGTTGAAATTTTTTTTAACAAGTGAGACCACAAATACCTACCTGTTGGATTTAAAACTTCTCTCATGCTAGTAGCAGTAAACTTGGCCTGTAACACTTTGTCCATATCATTTATAAAATTAACACTTTCCAGTGGAGAGGAGATGGGGGTACCTGAAACACAATATAAAATGAGATCTTTTTTTTTATAAGAAGGACAAACTGATAGTTTTTCACAATGATTCAGTGCAAGAAATGTAGTTCATGACTGATTTCAACCCAAAGTGGACTCCTTTAACACATATGATACTACATTAAGTAAAGCTTAAAAGTGTATCAATAGCCTGCCATGCATCTTAAAAATAATTATCTTCCTAAAACACTGCCATGGATTCATGATAACAAGTGTTTCTTTGATAGCTGAGCCGCTGCAAAGTGGTCCTTTAGCCTGAACTTTACCTTTCTGTTGCTTGGCTTGTAGTTTGCCAAGAATGTAGTTGCTGGTCTGCTGTAGAAGGACGTTGTTGTCTCCTTCATAGGTACAGTTGGGATCATTATCATCTCTAATCTCTCCCAGCCTATTCACTGTGAAAAGATTAAACATCTTTATCTCGAGGCAGAAATCCTTGGCACAAAGCAAACATTTGAAAGATTCCCTGTTCCACTCAATTGAATCAACTGTAAACATAGCAATTATAAGATAAATGTTAAGAAAAACATATTTATTGAGTTTATAGGACAGAGACTGATATGAACAAGAGATTTGATTGGTAAAATATTTTGGTCCAAATAAATGACATCTTAATATCATAGTTTTTAATCTAATTTTCCCTCTACTTCTCAACATGCAAAATAACCAGCATCATGGCAGGTACAGCCATAATATTTCTCCACTGCCATCCCAACATATTTTAAGTCCTGCAATCCCCTTGGTTACACAAAACAAGACATACCTTTGAAATATCCATGTCCACCGCATGCCTCCCTGCACTCCTGTGCTGCCCCCTGTGCCGTCCACCCTGCCAGAGGCTTGCCTGCACATGACATGGCATGGATCTCTCTGCCCAGTTCATCCTGGAGGTAAAATGACAAGAACTGAGAACTTACATAGAAGGGGACAACAGAGATTCAGTGGCAAAATATATTATAATGCAGGATTAATGTTCGTTTAGTTCATCCTTGAGAAAATATTCTGTGATCAAAAGAGACCAAAAACATGGATTTATCATACAAATTTCTTCAAAAACTTATGCAAGAGATTTGGTATGTTAATCACAAACAAAGGATAGGTTAAAAAAAACAGCATAAATTAAATTCATTTTGCTTAATGACCTGCTGTAGAAGATGGATGTTGAAAACTTAATGTAATATAAAACTATATTTCATAAAATATATCTTCATTCAAATTATTATACCAATTATAGTGTCAGTGAACAGCAATTGTGTGCATAAACTAAATTAGAAATATGAAGCTCCAACAGGTTTGCTTTTATACTCACCTGTCTTTCACTTGTATCTCCCATCAGCATCCCCATTGTTAGAGCTACAAAGTCCATAAAGAATGTCTTGCTGAAGTTTTCTATGGCATATGCTGCTGCCAGGAAGGGAATAAGTCGCCATTGCTATAATAAGACATTGTTTATTCTAATTTTTTCATATTATAACCAACTGAATCAAAATTTAAACATAAAAGCAGTTCTGAATATTCTAATTTAAAATAACTTCAAATCTTAATCTTATTCCTTAAAAATCAGCAAATTGATATATCTTTCCTCAAACATTAATTCTTATAAAATGTATAAACCCAAAGTACATCCCAGAAGAACAATCACCTGTAACTGGTATTCTAAAACTGGAATTTCTTCACTACTGTTTGGTGGACCAAACTGTCTCCTGACAGCTGAATAACGTATAGCTATTGGTATGCAGCGTTTGAGGTTAGCATTGCAAAGTCCTACAATACCCACACGGCCACTTGACAAGGCACCAAGGGCTGCACCAAAACGCTTGTTTGGGTCCTAAACATGAGAAGTCATTGTCAGAAAATGTTAAATGGTATTGACTCTGGAATATGACGGTGTTGAAACAACCTCTTTATGTCCAAAAGTCAAAGCCTGGTGGTGGTATCAAGTGGAATTCCATGGAGTTGAAGTAAATGATTTTTGGGCATAAGTTTGAACATTTTAAAAATTTTAATTTTTAATAATATTTAAAAATATGTCCAAATTTTAAATAATGCATTCAGTATATTCTTATTTATCAATTAAATAAAAAAAGTCAATAATTTGTGGGAAAACCATACAAACATATAATAAATTTATGCCAACAATTAATTCTAGCCAAATATCAAACAATTTATGAAAATGAACCATATTAAGTAATCCTCCTAACTATCTTAATAGATACATATGGCTTACTTTAAAGGGGGTCACATATTCTCCAGAAGGGGTGACATCTCCAGTCCTGTTTAGTAAATTCTCACGAGGTACTCTCACATTGTTAAAGGCAAGAAAACTGAAATAAAAGAACTTATCAGTTAAATCTAACCTAAGCAGTAAATAATATAGAACTGGAGTGAAAAAGACAAAAGGTAAATGAAATGTTAAAAACACAAATTCAATTCCCTTGAGAAAAAAAAACCATTGTATTGATTGTAAAAAGAAAAAGCATGCATGACTAAGTGAGTGTATCAGCATACATGTACAGGTACATGTCCCTTATGTGCCTTACCCATTATCAATACCATTAAGTCCCAGTTTCTCCCCCATATCTCCCACCATGATTCCAGGCATCGCCAGCAATGTCTTAGAGTCACGGATCTGGACTATAAATGAGTGCAGACCATGGCACTTGCCATCTGGAGTGTACAGCTGGGCAAACACTATGGCATGGGTAGCAGTCTTCCCCATGTTGCCCACCCAGATCTTTGTGGCCTCAAAGTCTGGGGTGTTGAAAACATATTCCTAAAATATATATGATTAAAAGTTCATGTTATTTTCATCCAAGATGTGAAGGTTTAAATGACATAAAACACTTACATGTTGTTTATACATTGTGGCTGTATAAATTGTGGTCTGTCAGACACAACTTGGTTCAATTTTCGTATAAATAATACATAAATGAACAAATAACAATAACAATACTAAATAGATTTGCTAATAAACTGTTTAAAAGACATTTGTTGCACAAATGCAATCAATAAACACCTTAGTCTTGGGATCATAGTGAGCAGTGGTCCTCATGGCCTTTGTATTACTTCCATGACTTAACTCTGTCAGGGCAAAACAACCAAAATACTGGAACAAAAGTGAAGAAAAAGATCTATCAGAAATAAATCCTAGATTCTAAAGTGGTACTTTTCTAGTTTCACATGAAACTGTATCTTTGATACTATACAAATGATAATTTTAAGAGTATGCATTTTGAAATTTGCTGATAGCAGAGAGATATCTTTTTTTTATGATAGATCTGGCTTTGTAATTATTAACAGTATTGGTGTTGATCTTAAAATTTATCATCTTGCAGTGTACAATCTATGACCTACTAGTACATATGCTGTTGTGTATTGTGATTATATACTGTGCAAAGCTTATGTGCACTACAACATGACCAACCGCACCTCAAAATTGTGGCATTTATCTATAAACTCTTGGTGTCTTTTGGACCCTGATCTTTGAGCAGCACCAGCAAACATCTATAAGATAATCGAGTGATATTTGTATATTTTTACTTATCTATTGCCCATCATTATAATTATTCAACAAGTGAAACAAACCTGTCATGCAGTAGTGTTTATTAACAATTTTTATTTTATATGAAAATATTTTGTGGCTGCAATTGCCAATACAATGGAGTTAAGATCCAAGTTATTTCACAATTCATTTTACAGAGTATATTAAACTATATTTATCATCACTAAATTATTTTGATTCTGTGATGACCACAGATGTAGGTCATTCAAATACAATCTAAATAAATTTATCATAATACTTTTGACATTATATCACTATTGCCAGAATTTATGATTTTGATCACCTGCATATTCAAGGAATATTTAGCAGACAGGGCAGGGTCGTAACTGGTCAAGGCATCTGTCAGGGTCATTCCCAGGACTGGGTTCTCATACATGCTATCCACAGGCAGGAAGTTGTACTCAAACAGCTTCTTGGTTCTCAGGAATGTCACCTCTCTCACCTGGTCTATAGTTAATTGCTCATAACTTCGAGAGAACAGTGGATCAGCTTCCAGCGTTCTCCACACATGGTACTGAGAAAGAAAGCAATACCAAATGCATGTTTATGAAATAACAATTGACAAATCAATGTAATGGAACCAAACAGAATATGTATTTATAGGATCTTTACTGTCAAATCAAATGTTAAATACTTTGTTTATATATCAACATAATTAACTTTGTTACAACATATGATCAGTTACATAAAACTTTACATTACCCCCCCCTCCTCTTGCAAAATAAATAAATAAATAATAAATGCTAAGTTGCATTGCAAAACATATCAAGTACAAGTACATGACAAATCAAAATAGGAAGAAAAAATACATTTCGAACATGGAAACAGTCATGTGATACATGTATAATCAGTGATAAAATCTTTAAGACGAATAGTAAAGGAAAAGACGATGATCGCGGGGTTGAATATCATGCAAACAATCGTTGAATGACGCTCACCTTGAATTTCAACTCCTCTTCTCCTTCTACCAATAGCTTCATACGCTTCCAGTTAAAGGATGCTTTCTTTCGGTAATCATCCAACGGACCTTGAGGAAAATCGGGCAATATCTCGTCCAAAGACGACGAAGATTGAACGACAGGCATTGCCTCCGTCTCCGACATTATTAAGATGGTTTGAGGTATTCCACTATTTTCAGCACGCACGTGATCCTTGGTTGCTGGTAGATAATGTTTGACAATACAAAAAGGGATACGTGCTCCCTCACAAATACATAACCAATGCTCAGGTAAGGATTATGGTCAAAGGTTGCCTGTGTCAGAACCCTGTGAACTCTAATACTATTGACCTAGTTTCCCTGAGACCTATAGGGGGCAGATTGATACAAGACAGCACATAATGTCTAATGTTGAGCAAGAGTGAATCGCCAGTAAAAACTGTAGAATCTAGATATTTTGGGTTTTATGAGAGGGGTGCCTTGCTCAGTGAATGCCAAGATATGTCTGAGATGCTGCACAGAAAGCAGAATTTTGATGAAGTCGTTGTGAGTGCGTGAGGTAAGCAAAGAGTGTGATAATACAGGCACATAAGATAAGGGCTTTCATTTCAGCTTTAAAAGACGTTACACATTGCTCTGAAGCTTACATTACACATAGTTCTGTATGCAAAGGTGATCTGTTATTCTATAGTAAAATTTAACTATTGTCTAGAAACAACAGCTGTATATGTTAGCCACATGAAAAATAAATAAATAAGTAAATAAATAAACTTTACTGAACACTGTCAGCTAATTGTGAGTTAAATAAATGCCATTATTATGGTATATACTGTACTACCCAGAACCATTGTGAATTCTACAGTTCGAGTTCTCGATTACAAGTATAATTATACCACCATCAAAAGTGATGTGACAATTAAGCTAGACAGTATTTGCGTTCTCGATTACTGAAAAACTCGTAATTAACGTTCAAGGTGCCTAGCTCAATATTTTCAGTGTAACAGCATTAAGGCAAATGTGTTGATATTTTCAGGAAAATTAGAATTTACCTTTTAAAAGCACAACACTCATCAGGTCTTTTTAATGGGAAATCGTTGACATTCAGCTACAGTAGCATATGTTCAACAAGTGAACACATTATTGAACAATTATAACTGTCACCTCACACGTACATAAGTTGGACTGTTCTGTTAATCAACTTAATGAGTACTTTAGTGATTTAATGTCATATATGGCTATATCATGTGAAAGGGAATCTGTCAATATCAAGATAGTTTCCTACATGATATCAATGTATAATTTTTGTAAATAATCTGAGTGTTCACATGATTTTTTTTTACAATGAACTTCTATCTATGAAGTTATTGAAAATGTGTTGAATTAAAAATATGTGTGTGTTGAGGGGGGGGGGGGGATTATAATGCTGTGTGGACTTCGTGAACCCACTTTTTGGGTTTGTGAAATGAAAATCATTTCCACTTCAAAGTGTTGCATTCTTCTAATTAAAATTTCGTCAGTAATCCCCATACAAAGTTATCATTCAGATGCCTGGGAACCCTTCAGTATGGAAGATAAAGGTTCTGTAGGGCATGTTTACAGGGAAAGCTAATTCCGCACCCTTCCCCTGTTACCTAGGTTTCTCTGTGCATTTCATCCATTCTTTATATTTACCAAATGCAGCAAAGCTGTTAGTTGGGTTTTCAGAGGGAGAATCTTAGTTTGAATAGTTTTGCCACATAGGTATTGATAAAGTCAGTATCAGACATGGGGAAACTGCCTGTCTGCCAGGTCAGGACTGCTTGAAATGCCAGAGGACCTGCAAGATTTTTGATCTCATAGGTCCTCTGGACTGGCAAGGTTTAAGTGAAAATACAATACATAATTATTATACATGACATGTAAACATAGACTAATGAAAATAAAATACTTAGTTTTGACCAGCACAAAATTTGCAGGACCTTCAGATTATTGTAGTGCAGGTTGTCTGGACCTTGGGTATCTCTAGAGTTTCCCCTACATCTGCAGTATGAGTCAGTGCCCTGTGTTAGATTCAGTGCCATTGTCTCATAAGATTTTACTTACATAAAAAATGATATACATTACTAAATGCTTTTTTTCTTAATTATCTTAAAAATTTGCCTGTTATTCTAATTGCCGATCATGGGAGATGTTTGCTTTCTTGTAAACAGAATAATCTAAAGATGGTTGTTTAAAAAAAACACGCCCTTTTTAGATGATTCAATTATTAAGAAAACATTCAACAAATTCAGATCCAACTTTCACCCTTCTGCTGTTGATTTGAAAAACAGCCCGAAGCAAAACTACAAAGAACTTGAAGAAAGTTGCAGCAAGTTATATTGATTTATTACAGATGAACTTAGATATTTTTAGCAGAGGTGGTTCCAACTGCAGTAGTTAAACCCAGGTATGCACTCAAAGTGATAAGGGAGGGCATTTTAGCTACCTTGGAATTTGAAGTCTCACAGGTAAATACAGGGGATCTTCTGATTGCAGGATTTGAATGAGAGTTTTGTTATATAAAGTCAGTTGAAGGTATATGATCCAGACCAGGTAGAGTGCCTAGTATATCAACAGATGGTCTCATATATTAACTGGTGAGGTATAATTTTGTGAAGTGACTTGGAAGTTACTGCGGGAGGGAATGACCATGCACCTAAAGCATTAGATTTTAAAGAAAGATGAGATTTTATGTGCTTCAGCTACTGGTTTCAGAGCACTTGCAAGTACTTTAAATGATTTTTTGTTTTCAAAAGTTTGAGTCAGATCTTATATTTTATCAAGTCAAGAAATATTGTTTTATTCAGAAGTTAAGATTCCTTTGCAAATGCAATGGTAAAAGGCTATTAGTAGGCTAACATTGGGTTGTTGACATTTTTACTTAAAATTATTTATACCAATATATGACTATTAGTTTTACCTTTAGGAATTTAGAGTGCATGTAGATATTTTAACATATTTTAATAAAAAATAAAATTAAAAAATAAATGTAAGAGGAGGTTTACACTTGCAACTAGTACATAGAGTACACCTAGATTTTCACCAAGTTTGGTCATTGTACAGAATCAACATATTCCTTTTTGTTGTCCTATCCTTTGTAATAATAAAACCAATTGACCTGGCAGGCTTCCATGAATGTATTGGACAGGTGCTAGTAATTTGTCATACCTGTATTATATTGATTACTTATTGAAAAACTGTCAACTACTATCATAATAACCTCCATTACACCTCCATTAAATGGGCCATATGGCAATTTGTGAATAGGAATCAATAATTGTGATCATACACCACATCTTAAGCAGGTAGTACACCACTCAGGGAGCAGTGATGATAGGCAGGCAAGTATCACATTGGAGAGACTGGTTGTTGAAATAGGAAAGGCTCATTTATTGAAAAGGTCATAATTACTGTAAAGCTTTTTGACATCTAATATTGACTAAAGAGGTATAATATAATCTTTCTATATATCCTAGGCCTCAGGAACTGCAGTGTCATTCACTCACCTGGCTTATATGAATTCACAGCATTTTAGAACGTGTATTGTCCAGTGGATAGTATACACATTATTTTTCATCATGTTATACATGGAAATCTGGAACCAATTTTGCAAAAGATCTGAGGCCTAAAATTGGTCAGAATTTTTAGACCAAAATTTTGGTCTGTTTCAGTTTAAGAATAAACCCACAGTAGTTTATTTTCTAAAAGGTCAGTTTTTTTAAAAAAAGGAGAAAAAAACACTAGAGATGATTTTTATTGATATTATGCAGACACATGCAATATTTCATTAAAGTGTACTATTACAGATTTGTCATGGTCAAATAGACTAAAGTATTGGTCTGAAATGAGCCAATTTTTGAGCTTAAGTTATTTAGAGAATAAAGCCTATGAGCTTGTAAATATTAAATATGTGTCATTTGCATTATTTTCAGCAGCTGTTGATGGAACCATGGTAATATAATGGCGGAGGTGGAGGAGATTCCCTACAGGTGCCCCAAATGTGGAGACCTGAAAACCTTTTCCACATTCTCAGAGCTCAGGAGTCACATGCACTTGGACCACAGTTTTGAAGATTCAAACAGGAAAAAGCCTGGTATCCATTTCTCCATAGATCCTGAGCCCAAACATGGGACACCATTTAGGGAAATGTTCAGTAAAGAAGCAAAAAAGTTGGAAGAACAACTCAAAAGAGCAAAGGAAATAGAAAGACAGAACAAAATTGCTGCATCCAAATTCAAACCAGCAAAAATTGCCTCGTTGGATATACGTCCTGTGAGAGAAGTGGAATCATTTGAGCTTCAAGATGTTGCCCCAAAAGTAGAGGTCCCATTCACAAGACAAGCTCCATTTACTGGTTCTTCCTCCATATTCCCTCCAACTTCTGACTATTATCAAACTTCAGATGGAAGACCAGTGAGCCTTAGCTATTTGGGTGATACATATTCTCCGTCCAAGTCCAGGTCACACCCCTCTTTTTTACCCCCAAACAAAATATATGGCAGTGTGAATAGCCCTCAGGATCAAGATGGGCAGACAAGAGGCCCAGTAGATACCATAACATACAACAGCCTTCAAAGAGAGCTGGAAATCAAAGAACTGAAACTCTTGCAAGCTAAAGCAGAATCACAAAATCTCTCAGACTCTTTAGATTTGTCACAAATATACACTGATAAACTTAGGAAGGAACAAGAACTTCTTGTAAAACAATTGAAAGAGAAACTCAAATTCAAGGATGCTAAATTAGAAATTGCCAATGAAGAATTGGAAAAATTATCAAAGGAAAGGCAAAAGTTGCAGCAGGAGACTTTGGAGTGGTCCAGAGAGAATGACGCCATGACCCAAAGTGTGGAAGCCTTGCATGAACAGCTGGAAGACAAAGACAAAGAAATTGAAAGAAAAGAAGCGTAAGTTACTGTGAATTTTTTTCAGGGTGTATTGAGGTACAAGTTGGCAGATTTAATATTGGTAGTATAGCCTTTGTTAGTGAAATTGGGTGATGGATTTTAAAGAAATTACTGCATGCTTGTATGTAGAGTATTTTAAGTATTATTGATTTTATTGTTTTGTTATTTCAGTTATTGATCTGTAACAGCTAGGTCAGGTCATAATGTTTATGTGTCATTCCATAAATTGTAATATAAAATATATATAGGTGTCTCACTCCCTTGTATGTTTCAGCCCCCAGAAAAGGTTTTTGGAATTTCTGTTATACCCAAGAAATTTCCAATTGCTTTTGTTACTTCTCAGTTTTTTTGGTGTGTAAAAATAAAAAAGTTTAAGAGCAAGAAAAACTTTTGATAGAAGGGAAATTAATCTAGTATTGCCTTTATTGTTTACATATGGTTACATTGTGTTGGTTTAAAGTTCTTTGCAAATATTTTGTAAGTATTTTTGTATGTCTTAATAATTTTAAATATTTACATGGTATGAAACAAATGTTTAAACATTCCAGTGGTGTGTGGCATTTTATGTATGTGTATGTTTATTAGTGTGGGGAGGGGTTGGTGGGGTGGCTTATTACACCTTCTTGGATTATAGCTATTTAGAGAAAGGTATTTTAATATAAAAAAGAAGAAATGAAAAATTTGTAGCATGAAAAAATAGAAAAGGCATAGTTTTGCAAGAAATGACAATTATTTTTATTTCCAAGTTTAAAACTCTAAAATTGCAAAACAAATAATTTTTTCTTTTCTAACAATTTACAGTGAGATCAAGAAACTGAAAAATTACTTAGAGAAAGCTGCTGAGCAGGAATCAGGAGCAAGACAGAAACTAGAAGAGATGATAGACACCATCATAGACAGAGCAGAAAGTGCTGAGGAGGAGCTGAGGACCATTAAAGGCAGTCCAGTGTATAGATCAGCTAGCATGATGGAGATGAGGAGACCTGACCAGGTACAGTATATGGTATAACATCACATACTCTCCTGTAGAGATATGAGGATAAAGATGGAGTTAGTCCAGTGTATAGATCAGCTAGTATGATGGAGATGAGGAGACCAGACCAGGTACAGTATATAGCATAACATCAGGTACTCTCCTGTAGAGATTTGAAGTTAAAGATGGAGTTAGTCCATTGTAGAAGTCTGCTAATATGATAGAAATGAGGAAACCACATGTTTTTTTTTTCTCATGTCCTCATTAAGTTTTGTAATTTTCAGCCCCTCTCCTCTCCTGTAAGGAGGTCCACCAGTGCCCTGCAGTCCAGACCAGACCACCATGTTAGTTTCCAGCCTGACAGGACTGCTTTTAACAGGTATGCTCTTCATTTCACCATTGAACAGTGCAAGTTGAATAATTATGTAGGGATTTACAGACTTATGTGTTGTAAACAAAATATATTAAGAATAAAATTTTGATAGCAGTGTTGTTTTACTATAAATGCAAGATATGAATAATTGAAATGTGACTGTTTGGATGTATTTTTTTTATTAATTCTGGCTTTTAAATTTTCAATACAGGTATCCAAGTGCCATATCAAATTTGCCTAATCCAGAACTTCTGCATCACCAACAAAATGGCCTGATGGGTCCAAAGCATAAAAAAGCCTACAAAAAGGACCACCGCGCACCTCCTACACACAGTGGACCTACCATCCATTTATCACAACTTAACAATAGCAGTCCAGTGATAAACCACTCAGCAGAGTATATGTGCAGAGACCATGTCCCATTGATCCCTGTATCTGACAAGTACCCCGTGGCCCCACCCACACATGGTTCCACAGATTCTGGGATAGGGGAAGGACCAAACCACGGGGTGTATGGTGAGTTTCAGGGCTGGATGCTAATTTAAAGCAACCTTGATGCCATGTTTTGTTAGGATAAGAAAAATACCTTCAGCTTGGACACAGGATAATTTTTATGTCAATTAGCCTGTGCTATTACATGATATACAGCCATCCCTTTTTTTTTAGTTAAATGATTCGTTTCATTTATCCTAGTTAAAAAGTGATGTTATGACTTTGAAAAATTAAAGCTTAAGTTTAAGGAGGAATTAGAAAAAATGGAAGAAAAGGAGACTTTATCAACTTTCTTTTTCAGGGTCCACTGAATCAGGGCAAAGGGAAGCTCCAGATGAAGACATGCTGGTATGGATATATTGATACTGATGTGTTGTGTGTTATATTACTGTTGTTGGTTTAAAGTCACGTATTAGAAGTAAAAGATTAACTTTTTTAATATTTATTTTTTTTTGATGTTTTTATGATGGAAATATGATTTGAAAAAATTTTGCGTTTGGTCATTTTCTTTTTTTATCAAATGGAACCATTTGTTTTTTTTTTTTTTTGTAATAGTGAACAGAATCTAGATTTCTTAGAAATAAATAATGCATAGATGCATAATATCAGTTGTAATGGGTGACTTATTTAGTACCTATTCTACTTTTCAGATGGACCGTGATGGTATCATGTGGAATGGTCTCTACCCAACATCAACACCAGATGGGGTTGCTCACATGCTGCCACCTGGAGGACATCAGATGTACCAACACCCAAACTTACAACATAATTATGAGAGTCATGTACCACCAGAATTGTCACAAAGTTTTGGCTCACAGTATGCATCTTCATCTGGTGGTGAGCCAGAGTCAGAGCCTGAATTTTCATCTCATCAAAGTAGAAGGTCTCCAAATCAAACCTGGTCACAGAATAATAGTCCTGCTGATACGTTCTTCATTGACGACTGCGATGCTTTGTTTAGATCACTGAAAACACAAGAGTTGCAGATGAAGCAACATATGAAACTCATAAAACAACAGGGAAAACAGCTGAGACAGATAAGAGATCAGTTGAATAATTCTAAGTCACCAAGTCATTTGAATAGAAGCTTTGAATCGGTGCCTTCTTACATTAATGGCGAGGATTATGAAGATGGAGGTGATGACAATGATGATGTACAAGTTACAGTGAGTGAGGTCGATTCAGAATTAGAAAATGATTCAGATTTAGACCAATACATTGATGATATAGAGGCATTTTTACCATTAGACTCACCAGAGAGAAATACCCAGGAAAGAAAACAAAATGATTCAGCCGATGTTGGGAGGCCACACTCTGGGCACAGAAAGGTGAACGGACAAGGTCAACTCAACCAGATGTCTGGGGCCTCCAGAAAACATGAAGACCTGAATAACAGTAAGTTGGTCATTTGTGTTTTTTCCTTCCCATTTGAAATTTGTGACTTTTGTTATGTTCACTCAATTGTTTCAATTAAGTTTCTAAAGTTACATGTATCTGCCATCTCAATCTGCATCTGAAAGTGGGTCTTACTTTCTGCTACTACACGCTTCCACTCAGAATTCTTAAATATAAGTATGGACATATGATCTTTCTTTGACACAATTTGTGCTTTCTTCTACATGTATCGATTCAGTTTCCTTGAATATAGATACAAAGATTTGTGTTTGTCTGAGACATTTTTTATTTATTTTTGTCCAGCTCCAGTACAAAATAGCACCCTTGAGGTGTCCAGGTTAGACTCCACCAGGAGGAGGCGTGACGCACTGTTCTGTGTGTTCCTGTACCTGGATACCAAGTCCCTGAGCCAGGTGTCTGCTGTGAGCAGGGAATGGAGACAAGTTGGCAGACATCCAGCACTCTGGAAGAATCTCAAGTTTCAGAATTCCAGAATTTCTTCCAGGGTAATTATATTTCTGTGAATTTAGTGAGTTATTGATAAAGAAATAATTATTTTACAGTAGTATTTAAATGTTCTTCTCATTTGAATTTGTTTTGAGTACAGGGATTAGGAATATGTTGAATAATAATGTTTTTATGTGAACATAAGCTGTTAATGAATCAGTATAGAAAAGTTTGTGAAAAAGTGATCATGGAAAAAAGTGTTCTCATTGTGCTTCTTCTTTTTATATTTCAGTTCCTTCAAACCATATCAAAATGGTGCAAACAGATACATTCCCTTACATTCGAAGGTGAGTTGAGAAATTTCTGCTTTTGTGTCAAAATGCATCAGAAAAAAAATAACAATCAAGGATTCACTGAGCAGCACATTGGATATTTGGGTTTTAAATCCTACAGAAAAACCACAAAAACCAGATAAAACATGAATTTAGAAAAAATGAAAAATGAATATATATTCTTACAGGTTTGAGATCTAGAGCAAGAAAGAAGACAGAACACAAGAAGGATTATTTGGATAGTGTAAGGTGTGTACAGTTTTTAAAAACTTCCAGAATCACTCATTAAAAAAGATTAATTAACACTTATCTTTAGTTTAAGTCACCTCTGGATATCTTGTTCACTAAATTCAGGTCGATATAGTAAAGGTAAAGACCAGATTCAAGATGTCTGAGAAAGATTACTCATCATGATGATGTAATCTGACAGAACTATACACTTTTCTCTATTTGTTTCCATGAACTCATGCACAAAATGAACCTTATGAACCACCTCTGATCAATATAGTTTAAAGTTACTTTGATGACAGGTTGATCAGAAAATCAGAAAAAAATTATTGTCAAACCGCAATTTGAAAGCTTTAGAAGCGAGTCTCCTTACATGTTTTGCTTGTATGTTGTTCAGATACACATGACTAGACTGATATTACATTTCTGAGGTATTTATTTGTTTCTAGAGGAGCGCTAGAAGCTGGTTTAGAGCACCTTCTCAAGGCATCGGGATCCACCATTATTTCACTGAGGATAAGTGGATGTGGAAACATTCTTACTGACAGGTAAGAGACATAACTAACTTCAGTTGAACATATTGTTGGCCCTTTTTTGTGTCCAGTAGTGTCCATGTGTTGCTCAGCATTTGCACTGGGTTTCAATATTGCACTTGGTTTCAGGAAAATATTTTAGCGTGTTTATAAGCACAATATTGATAAAATCAAGGCAACAAAAATAAACCACCATGTTAAAATGGTTTTGGATTCATATAGGAGTCTGTGGTTAATCAGCTGTCACTGTAAGAAGCTGGAGAAGCTGGCATACCTGAGCTCCAGTTCTCCAGCAAGTTCAGAGGTGATCTGGGCACTGGGAGCTGGCTGTAAGAGGATCAACACTCTGCTAATGCCTCCAGTATATCCAAGGTAAGGTACTAGTTAGGTGTGTAGTAGTCTAGGCTATAGTGCTCAGCTTGACCAGAGGTGATTTTGACCATGAGGATGAAGCATAAGCTTCTATAAAATTTAATGATCAATACTTTGCACTATGTCCAATAGTTAGAAACTTGTATTTTATGGCCAAATTTTTTAGCTTGTGTTAAATAATTATCACAGATAATTTTATTCTTATTTTTCATATATCTATTCATGATGCCAGATTAAAAAAATTCTTTTTTTTTCAGCTCTTTGCCGCACACATTTAACAACAGCAGCGTAAAGATGATAGGAAAGTGCTGGCCACACCTGCGCGTGCTGTGTATTGGGGGCATAGATGTCAACGTGGAGGGCCTGACAGCCATAGGTAAGTGAGACTGATTATGGTTATAATACTTTTGACTGTTGGTAGTTGCATTTTTTGAAAGTTGCCATTGTTTTTCAGCATAATTGAGCAAGGCACATTGCAAAAATTCTTGAGATTAAATGTTGGATCATTATTAATATTTTCCTCAATAAAGCACTCACTTCTAATTCACTTTTAACCTCCCTCATCTAAATCATGGTCAATTCCAGCTGGTTGTTGCCTGCGTCTCCAGGTGTTGGAGTTAGACCACATGTGTCAGGTGATGGAGAACACGGCACTGGCCATGTGTAAGGCTGGACTGAAGGGATTGCAGATACTGGAGTTCACTTTTACACCTGTCACACCTAAAGCTTTGGTGCATTTTAACAGTAAGTTAATGAGAGTCTTGGAATATTACTTCATTCATTTATTGTAGGATAAGGTTTTAAAGAAAACATCATTATTCATAATTTACAGTGGACAGTTGTGTTGTATGATATATTGACCAATTAACTTATTTTTTATTTAAGCAAAGTTTTGATTTTTAAGTATTATATTTTAAAGGGCTCTGGACTCTCTTTCAGGTGCTTGTCATCATCTCAAGAAGATATCTGTTCATGTGGGAATATCAGATTATTATGATGATCCAAAAAATAAGAACAGCATGGATGAATACAGACAGATCATTGGCAAACTGAAGGTAAAATGATAGAAATCTGTAGAATGGGTTTTTGTTTGTTTGCAATACACATTACTGACTGAACTTGTGGCATTACAAGAGTTATATAATTTCATTATTTACTTAACAAGGTACAAAATCAATGCATTTTCATAAAAAAATACATGTCATTTTATTTTCAGGAGCTCAAACGGAGACCTGGCTTTGAGGGCGTTCTTCACATAAAATCAGACTATGGATAATTTGAACTTTGTTTCCAAGAAAACTAGCTGGTTGACATGATTAACTTGCCTCATTTATTTTTGTTTTGTTCTTAAAAGCAAGGTATAAGTATTATTAAGATACACATTTACATTAGATTATGTATTTATTGCAAGGAGTATATGCTTGAAAGTTACCTTTTTATAATACTTTACTTTTTTTGCAAACAGCTAATATGCTATTTGTCAACAGATTTTGTATGAGGAGCAGCTGAAAGTTACAAAATTATAACAGGGTGCCTTTTACCATATTAATGCTCAGTTTGGTGAATCAAACAATTGCGTAATGTCTATATATGTATAAATATATTTACAATGTTCCGTCCAGTCATTTGATAGAGAAGAGATTTAAGATGGTAAATCACTTAATTTGCAATATTTTAAAATGTAGTTTTTTGTTTGTACTTACTGGTTTTTCCATATTTGTTTTCGTGAAACAAAAGTAACTTAAGAAGTTATTTTAAGTTTTTTTAAAATAAATTATTGGAAAGTATATTAACACAACTCGATCAATCAAAAAAAGCAATTTCATTTTTAATTCTTGACACAAATGTTTCACACAATCAGAAGCCGTTTATACAATAAAGATGAATTATACTGATGATCATAAAATACAATTACTGTAGCCTTGAACTCAATTTTTATCCCCACCTCCTGATCATATGAAGGATACCAGATAGTGACAAATGTGTATTGCTAAGAAGTGTCAAATATACTACATTTCATACACGAAAAGCTGAACAAGTGAAGCTCCTTAGAACAAGCCAATTACAGCAAAAAATACAGGACTGTACTCTGTCCAGCAGCAAAGACATCCCAGGCTGGAACCATCACCTGTTAACATGAATTTATTCTGGTATGCCTTCTACATGTGAGGGAAAGATATATGCTGTGGCACAAACAATATATCTGGCACTGCTGATGGCATGCACAACATAAACGTAGTGTTGAGATAATATGATTGTGTGAAGTTTACAGCAGCAACAAAGGAAGGGGCAAAATAATTCAAATGTTTTCCTCTATACAATTGGCACTGCACCACTAATTAAGTTACACACACTATCGAGGCCTGCTTTTTTAGCTGGGATGAACTAAAATTCTAGGTAACATGAGGGTGAATTTATACCTGTACAACTTACAAAATGCAATGTAAAGCTAGGCTTTACAAAAGGCACAATAAATAGCTCCAAAACTAGTTCTATGTTGGTATAATAAAGAAAGCAACATAATGCTCTGTACAAAATTTGTCATGTACATGGCTACATGCATAAACTTCAAAACTTTCCTATCAATTCATCGACACCATTAACACAGTCTGGTATTAAATCATTAAATGTGATTCGTTACCCTCAGTTCAATAGACTCTACTTCACTCAATTTCTATTTCTCTGTAAAATCAATTTTCTTGATTAAATTGAAAACCACTACGTGTACACTAATCTCTTAATGTCTTTTTTATATATTTAACTAAGAAGTAAATTACCCCTTTTCTGCATTAACTTTGCATAATTTCATTCTCAAAGGACCTCATACTAAAATCTTCAAACATGATGTAAAAAGCAAATCAAAAGAGGAACGCAGAGGTATTTCTATATCTAATATCTTTCCAATGTTGAGTAAGTTTCTTCTGTTATTATGACAATTTTTCTGAAACTTGTAAGACAAAAAATATCCTATGCTGTGTGGATTGCAACTTAACCTGAGGTATCTGGCACTGTTCTGGCAATCTCGGAACTCAAACTCATATATTGCACAAACCATTTTGATTTCATTCTGAATTCCATGTCATGTTCAACTAGCTACCATGCGTGATCAGATACTACGTAATTCTGCTGATCTGACACCAGCAGCTTGAGCTAATTCTGTACAAACTTTTAGCTTGTATGAGACACCAAAATAAGGTTTTATTAGATACAAAACAAAGATGGATGCCTACAACCTGAATGTAGCAGCTATGTTTGTTACCAATATGAATTCACATAGACATCAATATGTACTTAGTTCTTTTCAGGCTTCACATAAATCTGTTGAGGCTTTAACCTTAAGAACATGAGAAATAGCAAGTTACATTTTACAACTTACAGTGAGTAAAAGTGGGTCATCATTTTACAATATTGTAAGTTTTACACAAGCTGTGCTTTTTGTTACACATTTTTAGTTTTGTGTATCCCATCTTGTCTTCAGTCAGAAGCTTCTGACACTAAGAGGTGTAATATGGCACAATTAGAAAGAACACCGACACCGGGCAATGAGTCCCTGCATGAACACGATTAAAAAAAAAAAAAAAAAGTACAACAGTATTCTAATAACAGAGAAAGACCCAGGGAAAAGACTGATCTAAATAGGAGAATAATATACACACATGATGTCATGATAATGTCCATGGCAAAATCATGTTGCCAATGGTTACAAGAAAGCACCCTCACCTTCATCATAAAAATATCTTTACAGATTTTAAAAGAACATAGTTACTTGATAATTTATATGATAAGGTGTGGGGATTCGAAATAAAAAAGGCCCTTCTAAATTAACTTTTATATAAGTGCTGCCGCCCAAATCATGTGTTACAAAGTATGAACTACCAGGGACTTGAACTTCACTTACCGTGCCCCAGATCCCTGATGCACGGAACACATTAATGTACATTTCATGCACAACCTAAACTTCTATGTAGACAAAGTTCATGGACAACCAAGGTCGAAGTAAGCAGATATACATGGGTGGTTACTAGCAGGAATTCTTTGTTATTTCTATTCCTTTATAATAATGTTTCCTGGCCCAGTCACAAACGTATGGCACCTTGTCCCATGTAGGTGGTTATATAATGATGTCCATTCACATTCATATGTCTATATTGATCAACAATATACATGTAACTGGCCACCTTAGAAATGTCAAAAGGTACCATATAATTCCATGCTATATATATGTATTTATATAAAAGTGACTGTGCTGGGTTGCACCCAATAGGCATCACACATCCCACGAAAAGTTCCAAGTTGAAAAAGCTGCTGATGGGATATACAGGTGCATACCCCAATGCATTTTGGGATACAATCCAATATGGCTACTGCAGAGATTTTCCAGATTTTTTTCTGGACTGCTCTTGAAGCTACAATCCAATTTGGCCACTTCGCTTCGTGTAAGGCTTGAAGGATTGCCCTTGAATCAAAAGGCCAACCAAGCTCTGTGCTTTCATTAACCACCCAAAGGACTGTTCTTGAAACTGCAATTGCACCAGCCATTGCAAAAAGACTTTCAGTTTATCATCTTTATCTGTTTAAGAAGCAAAGTACAATTTAGCACTGTATGTTTCAGTAAAACACCCCCTTGAACTGAAGCTGGAAGCTTTGACACATCCTTCTCACAGTACATGTAATAGTCATGACCAAGCTTTGCGTGTGGACAGACATGCCTGTAGATGCAGAGAACAATGGGCCAAGGGTAGTGCTTTTTTCAATGACACCTTTGCCAACTCACTGAAACCTGTGGCACATGGCTGGGGTCCACATGATCCATCATTTCTGGTTTCAATTTGGCAAAATGTAGTTGTTGTTGTTGTTTATTACAACAGGTGTGTTTTTTTCTTCAGGTCACTCTGTTTGAAGCCTGGTAATCTGTAGAAAGCCTCCCTCGTCATCATGAACACCCTCTCAAATTCTGCATTGGTTAAGTACGCCTGGCACAAACAAAGATAAATCATATGTCAAAAATGCCTTTTAAATTGTTAATAATTATGAAAATAATATATTTTACTATGTGTAAACATTCTTTATATTTGCAAGCTGTTGGAGTAATCTTTACCTACATGGAGATAAAAAATGACATATTTCACTTAAAATCACTTTCATGGTCTTATCTAGACTAAACAAGTGACATGATGGGGGTACAAACTATCATGGCACAACACTCATCTACTCACTTCTAGCTTATTTCTATCCAGTCCTCTTGGGGGATTAGATATTAGTTCTTCATATGGTATCGGCTGGAGCACAAAAGATTATTTAGTTATAAAATATGAGTGTATCAATAACTGATACCCTTGTGAAAAATTATTTGAAACATTACGATGTGATATACTTAAAATGTGAAGTAGTGAAACATAAGTTTGAGCTTGTGTAAAACATAATGGAGATATAGTAAGTATTCTTTAATCACAATGTACAAGCAAACATTTAAACAGATATTGTAACCAAAAATGACAAGGGGAGAGGGAATATTTTATGGGGCATTCAAACTAATTGTTGCCGACCCATGCGGCAAAATAAGTTGAAAAGTAAAATAAGTGTATTTAAATAATTGTTATTATTATTATTATTATTTGTTGTTGCATCGATTGCAAAACAAAACTAATGCAGTGCAAACAACGGGAATAAAAATTTCATCACACTAAAGGAAAACCCTCACCAACAACAACTAATACAAATAAAACAATGTGTCTGATCACCTTAATTCTGGACATTAAATTGTGTTAGAAAATCTTCAAATGTTAGTAATATTACCATTCACATTACTTGATGATGTCATTAATTCCAGAATCATGATAATCAGATTGTCTGAGGACAAAGTAAATCGATATTAAATCACTCATTAGTGCTCACACAGGAATCTTTAGAAAACAAAAGGACAATTTCATTTTTTTTTATGTTCACATTTGGGAACAAAAGAAATCTAGTTTGCCATTTTAATAAGGACCCTACTCATTTAAAAACTAGTAAAAGAGAAAATCTTTTTACTTTTTATAAAGGATTATCGCATTTTGCTTGTCCCCTTCTTTTCAAATGAAATGGCCCTTGTTTTAACAGAGTTTCAGTCATTAAATTACAAATATCTAGATAACAATATTACTGTTACTGTAACAGACTACAAATGCATTTTTCTTGTATCATACGCTTACATTAAAATTAAGTTTGGGCTGTCACAGAAAGATAAGACTAAAATACTACTATAGATATCTATCTCTTTTCACTAAAAGTTGTTGCACTATTTCACACAGCAACCAAAAAGAATCTGAAAGAAAGCTAGAAAATCAAGCACCAAACTAAATTCACCCACACCACTTCAAGCACTAAAATCATAAGACTGTACAACCATGCACAATCTCCTGAAAAAATGCCAACAAACAGTTATGAAACCATCACTCTGTCATAGTGTGAATACCACCAACCAAAAACCACCACCAGGTTGGGAAAAAACACGGGTGTGCAACCATGCCCCATCATGCAGGGAGTCTATACCTGATCTGGTTCTTTGTTCTGCTCTTCCCGAGCCATGAACAAATTCTTTCGACTGTTTGACAATAATGCTGAGTTTACAAAAGGTGGTCCATCAGCTATTGATGTTGTTCGTTGTTGAGATAGTCTCTATAACATTGAGAAAAGGCAACATGGCAGGTCACATGCTTTGACAATGACTGTTGTCTATGGATTGGTCATCACAGATTATGTGCTGATCAGTTGAATTAAAATTTGTTCAACTTTTCCATTCACAGAAGAAAGCAACATTTGAAGCTGCCTTAGCATCCTTGGTAAAGCTGTGAACTTTTAACAGCATTTTTAAACTAGAGGATCAGAGAGGCGANTTGTTGTTTTACAACAAGTGTGTTTTTTTCTTCAGGTCACTCTGTTTGAAGCCTGGTAATCTGTAGAAAGCCTCCCTCGTCATCATGAACACTCTCTCAAACTCTGCATTGGTTAAGTACGCCTGGCACAAACAAAGATAAATGTTATGTCAAAAATGCTGTTTAAATTGTTAATAATTATAAAAATAATATATTTTACTATGTGTAAATATTCTTTATATTTGCACACTGTTGGGAGTAATATTTACCTACCTGGAGATAAAAAATGACATATTTCACTTAAAATCACTTTCATGGTCTTATCTAGACTAAACAAGTGACATGATGGGGTGCATACTATCATGGCACTACACTCATCTACTCACTTCTAGCTTATTTCTATCCAGTCCTCTTGGGGGATTAGATATTAGTTCTTCATATGGTATCGGCTGGAGCACAAAAGATTATTTAGTTATAAAATATGAGTGTATCAATAACTGATACCCTTGTGAAAAATTATTTGAAACATTACGATGTGATATACTTGAAATGTGAAGTAGTGAAACATTTATAAGTTTGAGCTTGTGTAAAACATAATGGAGATATAGTAAGTATTCTTTAATCACAATGTACAAGCAAACATTTAAACAGATATTGTAACCAAAAATGACAAGGGGAGAGGGAATATTTTATGGGGCATTCAAACTAATCAAAACAAAACTAATGCAGTGCAAACAATGGGAATACAAATTTCATCACACTAAAGGAAAACCCTCACCAACAACAACTAATACAAATAAAACAATGTGTCTGATCACCTTAATTCTGGACATTAAATTGTGTTAGAAAATCTTCAAATGTTAGTAATTTTACCATTCACAATACTTGATGTCATTAATTCCAGAATCATGATAATCAGATTGTCTGAGGACAAAGTTAATCGATATTAAATCACTCATTAGTGCTCACCCAGGAATCTTTAGAAAACAAAAGGACAATTTCATTTTTTTTTATGTTCACATTTGGGAACAAAAGAAATCTAGTTTGCCATTTTAATAAGGACCCTACTCATTTAAAAACTAGTAAAAGAGAAAATCTTTTTACTTTTTATAAAGGATTATCGCATTTTGCTTGTCCCCTTCTTTTCAAATGAAATGGCCCTTGTTTTAACAGAGTTTCAGTCATTAAATTACAAATATCTAGATAACAATATTACTGTTACTGTAACAGACTACAAATGCATTTTTCTTGTATCATACGCTTACATTAAAATTAAGTTTGGGCTGTCACAGAAAGATAATACTAAAATACTACTATAGATATCTATCTCTTTTCACTAAAAGTTGTTGTACTATTTCACACAGCAACCAAAAAGAATCTGAAAGAAAGCTAGAAAATCAAGCACCAAACTAAATTCACCCACACCACTTCAAGCACTAAAATCATAAGACTGTACAACCATGCACAATCTCCTGAAAAAATGCCAACAAACAGTTATGAAACCATCACTCTGTCATAGTGTGAATACCACCAACCAAAAACCACCACCAGGTTGGGAAAAAACACGGGTGTGCAACCATGCCCCATCATGCAGGGAGTCTATACCTGATCTGGTTCTTTGTTCTGCTCTTCCCGAGCCATGAACAAATTCTTTCGACTGTTTGACAATAATGCTGAGTTTACAAAAGGTGGTCCATCAGCTATTGATGTTGTTCGTTGTTGAGATAGTCTCTATAACATTGAGAAAAGGCAACATGGCAGGTCACATGCTTTGACAATGACTGTTGTCTATGGATTGGTCATCACAGATTATGTGCTGATCAGTTGAATTAAAATTTGTTCAACTTTTCCATTCACAGAAGAAAGCAACATTTGAAGCTGCCTTAGCATCCTTGGTAAAGCTGTGAACTTTTAACAGCATTTTTAAATGAAAGCACTTCTAAAGCTTATGTCATATTTCTCACAAAGATATACACTTTTCACCTTTTTTTTGTTTGTTTGTTTGTTTTTTTTTTGTACAGAATTTTTCAATTCCAAACTATCAAACAAGCATCACCCAACATATTTTGAGCCTGTGACTCAACAAATATAAGCAAATGCACAGTGACTTTTTCAAAATTTAAGAACCCTAAAATGATAAGCTGGATTTGACAAACAATTATAAAAAACCTTTAACACCTCACATCTAGAGCCACAAAAAAACATTATCTGCTCAAAATTTCTTTAGGGCAAATTAAAAGTAAACAAGTGGCAGATACAATATAAAATTGTCTTGATGATCATGTAGAGCAGATAATGCTTCAGTCTACCAAAAAATCCCAAAACCCTGACAAAATTCCAAAAACCTTTACTCCCAATCTTAACATACCTTTACACCATCATTGGACATAGAGGATGTGGATGTAACTGGAGAAGAAAAAAATCAAATTTCTCCCATAATAAATTTATGTATACGAGATCTTTAAAAGAGTACATTGCAAAAAATACTGACCTGAAGTATTTACATTTTACATTGCCAATAGAATTAACACTTTTAAGAAGAACAAATTAAGTTTTTCTATACATATTTTCAACCAACAAAATATGGCATCAAATAAAGCAGACTCACATGCAGATCTCCTTTCTAGTTTCTCTAATTCATCTCCACTATGACTGTGATCTATGTCGAACTGCAATGAAAAGATATAATTCATATTTAAGTGTCTTGTCTATAATTGAATTATAAATTAGGATCAGCAAAACCCTATTGCTTGAACATTATACGAATATAAATTAAAACAAAAATGTAACAAACACTTATTCAAAATCCCTCAACATATTCACTTGCTTAGTTTTGACTCAAATCAGCATAAAAAACAAAATCTTGAATTTAAGCAAATGTTTTCTACTTTGTTCCTTCCTTCCTTTCTTTCTTCTTCTTTTTCTTTTTTTTTTTTTTTTTTTGAGGGGGGTGGGGGAACACAAGCTCTGGAGCACCATCATTGTTGAAGAAGACCATGGTTTGACAGACACTCACTGAGAAATGAGATAGGGGTGGCCCTCCACTGATTGGCATCGTGGCTGACTTGGAGCGTGTCCCAGCCAGACAGCCGCCCGTGTACCCTGGCTTGGGCGGGGACATGTGTCCTGGCAGTGTGGACGTAGAGCGCACGTCACGACGCGGGTAAACATTGGGAGAACCTTGTAGCAAATCTTCAGAATGCCTACGCAGATGGTCTGCATACCTTGATGGAGCTACAAAAACAGGTACACAGGTATTCAACTGGTTTTACAATATATAGTGTTTTGTATGGGTTAATTTAATCCTGTAAATTTTGCATGTATGACACTGGGAAATATCAGTCTTGATTACCAGCTTACCATGACAAGGAACTTGTTTAACAAAAAACTTAGTCTGAACTTAAAGGCCAAGCTTTTAGCCTACTTAGTTCAAGATAAATTTGTAATCCACTCAAACAAGTATAGAAACATCAGTCATATCCTTCTTGTTATAAAACAGACACAGTGTTTCATTTCATTAGATTGCTCTTATCTTGGGACAAAGTAGATTAGAAATTTGGTCTAAAAAAATTAGACCATTTTTTTTTTTTTTTGCTACAGTTGTTTTGTGAAGCAGGCCCCTGGTGAGCTGGTAATTGCAACTGATATTTCTTGGTGCCATTAATATCGAGTTCTTAGAGAGGAGACAGCAGGTGCCATTTTAATTATGGTTTATATTATGACCTGGATGTGAGGAGATAAACCCACAGCCTACTGCACTAGAGGCAGACATTCTATAAAGGCAATCTCATCAAGCTGTACATTAATTTAACAATGAAGAAAATCCTTTATGACTGAGCATAACCTACATGTATGTCAAATCATCAAACAAAACTTATTTAAAATATAATTTTTTTTTAATATGGGCGGGGTCCCAACAGTGGGATCCCAGTTATCACAGACATAAAAGTGATGTTATTTGTGGACAGTGGTCCTGGCCAATTATCACGCTCAATCATCAACAAATGACTTATCGCAATGCAGCTAACCAAACAAATTTAATCTTAATCCATCATAAAAGGTAAATTTAAAATTGTGACATTGTTAATGAGAAAAAAATATTGGTTATACTTTGACAATCTATTCAAAACTTTTACTTACATGCATAATGGTGTGATTCAAAGCGCGTTCGATACTTTGGCTCGTGATCAGCAGCAGGGGTCCGTGAGGCGCTGACTGGATCGATGACTTTATGTTTCTTCATCTCCACCTTATGCTGCAGATCTTTAAGTATGGACTGACTCATGGGAGACTCTTTGGAAGCTTTTTCCAGTTCAACAAGTTCTTTTTGCACTTTCTCATCAATAGGAGGCTCTTCTTCCTCCTCGTCTTCATCTTTTTCCCCTCTGCTTTTTCGCCTTTCTCTCACTAAAAATGAATGGATAAGACTTAAAACTACAACAAAGACCATCCTGTAACAGAATTAAGACATTATACACATACAGATAACAACAGCAGCTTTCACATGTACAAAGCACCAGTACAAAACAAAAAGCAGCAGATAATTTATGCCAACCAGCACAAAACCTCCCTGAAAAAATTTCCTTTTTTCTCGATGCTCCTGCTCTCTTCACCAGTTCTAATGCAAACAAGCATAATACTGGAGTTCATTGTAGTTGCTGCCATAGAGAACAACAGCACACAACATATATAAGAGAAGATAGGGATTTACTGGTACTACTTCAAAGCAAAGGAAGATGGAAAGAAGGATGGATGGATGGTATACATATAGACTGAGAGATGTTACTGAGAGGTAATTAAACAGCTACACTAAAAGAAAAAAAAATAATAAGCAAATCTGTTAGATTTTTTCACCAGACATTTACAGTGTTTAAGAAAGAAAAAAATAAGCCCTATGTTGAGACAGGAATGTGCCAATACAATATCAGCCTGCCTCATATGTCTAAATTCATACTTACACCTCTCATTAACTGAGTATTTTATGGTTGGCCTGCCACACATATCTACATGGAGAAGGTGGAGGGCGAGTCCTGGGATAACCTGCTATGTACTATACCGACTGTACTCACGTAATTCTGGAAGAATAACTGCCAAGGACGGAGGCCCTGGCCAATCATCTCGCTCGATCTTCCGCGGACGATTTGGCTCAGGCACTTTGGCAGATGGGAATGCGGCTAACTTAACAGGGTCCTCTTCATCCAATTGTTCGGATTCTTCCGAAGGAGGCACATTTTGTTTGGACTTTTGTCTGAGCTTCTCTGATTGCAAAGGTTAGCAGATAGATAGAGAAAGAAAATAAACCAATAGATCAAAGTAGTGAAAGAAGTGAAAAGAGCCAGTACTGCTTGGAGTTTTTTGAATTTCTGAATTATTGAAGTCTGCAAGGCCCTCTACATGTACTCTTCCAAACCCTTCAGACATGCAAGAATTCTTGCACACACAAACAAGAACTATCAGACAGACAAACAAGCTAACAGAGAGAAAACTGAACACACACACACACACACACACACACACACACACACACACACACACACACACAAACAAACAACAAAATATTGTAAGACATTTCATCTCCAACAGCTACAGTAAATATCATTTTGGTTTAAGTCTGTTTCTATAGCTGTACCTAAAGGAATTTCAATACCAATGGAGAGGGCAATAAACTAAATTAATTCCCAACAGTACTGTCCCTAGTCAGGTGAAGGCAAACATAAGGCAGGAATTACATACACACCATCTCAGTCAGAAAACATGCAACTGTGATCGAGTGCTGCAACAGAAATAATGGAAAATGAAAGGTCAGGAAACGGCACTGAATTCACAAGCAAGACCATAAAATACAAGAGACCAGACATAATTATAGATACAGTAGCACTCAGGAGCAACTGGGGAACAAAATGTAGCTTAAAATGTGGCACAGACATTACATCAACATGAAGCATTGTGCACTTTGAAACATAAAATGATGGACATAAGATGACGAACAATGAACAAAAATAGAAGTAAAAGAACATAACTCATATAAGAAATGATAAGTGAAAACAGGCCTGAAAATGAAAACATTCAGAAGAGAAAAATAAGGAGAAAAAGTATAGTTGCTGAGGAAAGGAAACCAAGCCGAGCTAGCCAATGTCACTAAGATATACTAACTCAAACCATGTGCTCTGCACATGTAGCAGGAAACGCACTACATGTTTTTCGGAAAGATAAAAAGTGTGCAAAGGTCAGATAATAATTGAACAGAAATAACATAAAATAGAATATGAGGGGAAATAAACTGAACATACTTACCACACACAAGCTGCAGGTACAGGAACCCATAGCAAAAATGCTTATGCCAATTCAATCTTATTCTATATATTCAACAAAGCTGAAGCTATTGTAGAGTGATGTAAAACTCAAATGTGCAATGCATCCGTCAATTTATACTTATAACATAAACAAAACAACTTGGCTCACTCTAGCATTATTATAGCCATGAGACTAATTTTTTGTTCAAAATTTAATTTGAAGCCATATCAATGAGCTAGCATTCAATAAAATAATTTTCCAACTTTCATTTTCTCAGCCAAATTAAATACTTTAAGCCACTGCCAAAAGGTTTTTTATTAACTTTTCCTTTCTGCTAGCGTGAGCCTGTTACAAGGTAAAATAAACCTACTCATTTCAGGAAAGACAGCGGCTGCACAGGGAGGTCCCGGCCAGTCATCTCTCTCAATTGGCGCAGGCTCTTTGGGGGCAGGTCTATGTCCGCCAGGAAAATGGCTGAGCTTTATAGGTTCTTCATTATTGAGTGCTACTGGGGATTTGCTTCTGATCTGGCGCCGTTGAATAGAATTGACTGCATAAAAGAATAAGAAAGTCTATTAAAATCATACAGTAAGAAATCTGATAAAATCTGAGAGATATAAAAAGGAAGAGTTTCTTTGTTTTAATACTGCAGTGATCTGATTTCTGGATAAGACATAATCAATGTATATCTACTTTCACTTCTCTAATGCAAATCGAACAGATACACAACTAGCTTCTGGATTAGACATAAGCAATTTAAATCTACTTTCTGCCACAATGCATGTTAAATAGATACAAACTAGATTCTATAGATACAAACTAGATTCTAACTTTAGTAAAAAAAAAAAAAATGGCTTCAATCTGAAAACCTACTGATCAAAGGCTACTGCCCCCCACTTTATGCAATATTTTATCATATATAAGATTATTGAACATTTCTAAAAACGTTTTTCAAAATGAAAAATTATACTTGAGAGATCATTAACAGCTTTTTCATAAAGTTAACTAGCATGTATGGTTGTGTTTGGGTTTAACAAACAGGCTATTGATTTCCAGGGTTTAACTTTTTTAAATCAATAGCCAGTCCTCTGCGCGGCAGACATTTGGCAAAAATATCTCCTGTACAATTCGTTTAAATGATGTTTCCGCCCAAACAGCTTAATCTGAAGTACCATTTTTCAATAATTTCCTGGCCCTATTTTATCTCTCCACTAGAAACACTTGAATAATGGGAGTGACTCAAAAAAATACCAAAACCAAAAAGTTCAGCTTCCTTTATAGGTTAAATATACAACTAAATTGAACCTTAAAATGCAATTCAGCTCAGGTCGCCTGCAATTGTATACTAGTAAAGAAATTCAGAATTTCTACAATTTTATGGTAAAAAATGTCAAATAATCTACACTGACCGATTTGTTGTGCCATGGACATTTTCTGGACAAACGATGGAACAAGTTATTGGCCAGTATAAGAAATCATTGTTCTTAAGGATATGAGTTGCTTGTAACCTCTATCTACTTAATATCTTGAGACAATGATGACGACTACTACTACCACTACTACTACTACTACTACTACTACTACTACTACTAAAACAGAGTACTACTACATATCCATCTCCTTGTACAGAGATGTTTCCACTCACCTAGAACCCCCATTGCGCCTGGTTTTGGAGAGATAAGATAAATACATTAATGATAATTAACTTTGACAACAATATCAATACTAACAATATATGTATAAATATAATGGTTAGCAAAGGTATCTTGCAAAACTCATTTTGGTAGCCAAATGATGCTGAACAATGCAGTGCTAAAACCACCAATGAAGCTCCCAGGAACTTGATAAACAGAATGCTAACACAAACATTAAAGGTAAATATATAAATTCTTTTTGAACAAAAAACAATTTATGTAAGTATCATGATTATTCATCTAAAAATATCATTATTTTGAGTTCAATAATGTTACTAAACTCTGTCTTTTTAGTTCAAGATTTTAAGTTCAGTTGTAGTCTGAGAAGCCCCATTAAACCGACTGTCATGAAATAGATATTCATCCAGAAATGTGGCATGTGTCAAATAAATTACTCTTACATGGAAATTGATATACTTTTCTTGACTATTTAATTTTCTTATTCCACAAATGTATAAGGTTCTCACATTAATGTCAGAAAGTAGTGGCTTTTCAATACAACTGCACTCATCTCTGCTGTACTAATGTAAATCTCCCACAAAAATGTAGAGCTATCACCTTATGAGGGAATATATCCATCTAGCAGCAAACAATTTTTTTCAAAATTGGACAGAGAAAAAAATTCTATCAAAATTTCATTTCAATCCATTTCAGCATAGATATTTGCACAAAAAATCAATCACAAGGCATTCATCAGGCATGCTCTTTGTCAGATCTCATTTTTCTCAGAAGATAAAAAATATTGGGAGCATTCACAGTCCAGCTGGGACGGTTCAACATAGTACCACACTGCATAAGTAGACTTGCATCCCTATGCCTCCCCCCTTTATATGAATCAAGTCACCTGCTAAGCCTATTGGAAAATTGGACAGAGAATCATATCTAATTATAAGTGGCAGTTTGGTACTAGGTAAAGCTGTCAGACCTGGACTAAAAACGCACCTTAACGTTGAAGGCAGGAATATGCAAGAGATTTTTTTATAGAAGTTATAGTGGTATAAGTCTAGTATTTTGAGGCAGCTGAAGGAATTTCAGCACATACTTTCCAAAACGTAAGTATTTTGTCATGCATACAGGTCAAGAAAACAACCCCTGCCCCCATATTTTTCTTTTATTTTGATGCTGTCCCATATATGAAAAAAAAAGTTAGCTGCTAAATTGAACATTCTTTGGATGGTAACCTACTTGATGTTACAGGCTCTGTTGGATAACCATGGCAACAGAATCAGGAATAAATAAAAAAGATAAAAAGCATACTGTTAAAAGCATAGCAACCATCACCAGGCAATGAACTGGGTGCAATCAATAGTGGTCTATCTCTCATAACCCACATAAACAGTTAATGTGATTTAAGAGGAAAAAAATTGAAGGAGAAAAAAAAACAGGAGAACAATACACATTGCTTATATTTCTGCAAATGGAAGAGAATGTCTTAAGAACAGGTACTGTTCTGTTCTGCTAAATTTGTCAAAATAAAAGTTTTCTCTGGATTTTTTTCTTCCCACATTACTCAAATATCAGCCTCTGTTTAAATTGCTCATGAAACTTGTAAATGGCACCCAACAAATGAAGAAGACTAAAGAGCAGAGAGTAATTTAATGTGTCTCTCATTTCTCTGTTCTCTTGGCGCCACTGCTGAAGTGAAAATGAGCTGGCGTTCTGCAGCTTTAATACATGGGTAATGCAAGGGTATTTGAGAGAGTTCACTATTATGTCTAGGCAATAAAAAGACAGAAAAAGAAACAGAAATATCCCCAATTCTATTCAAATAATGGATCAAAGTATATCGGTTAATGGAGTTAAGCTTGCAATAGTCCCCCAGGTTTGTGTATTTCACCCAGGAAGTGGGTTATTATAAAAGGAACATTCCTTAATTCAGCAAAAAATGAAAAATAAAGGACAAACCTGCTGAATAACTTCTTGCTAAAATGCATGATAATGTAGCAACTTAAAATAGCAATAAAATGGATAAAAAAGAACTAAAAAAGGAACCACTGTCATTCCCTCTATGCACCAGAAATAATTATCAAAAATTTTACGATAAAAATATTCAGTCGTCAACACTGATGAAGCTGACAAAATGCATTTAACAAAATTGTTTCTATATCAATATGAACATTTTTAATATCGAAAAAGGTTTAAATACAAGTACTCGTGTGTACAAACTTCAATCTTCATAATAATTTCAATAAAAGATCAATCAATCTTCAAGGATAAAAATGAACACATTGTATCATACCTCTTTTGGTTGGTTTCACCAAATTACTCAGTGTGGCTGATTTTGTTGAGTATGAAAAGTTTTCTGAAAAAGAAAAGGGATTAAATTTTCAAAACAAAAGGCCAAGGGCAATTAAACGGCAATCAACATGATAATGTTTGACATTAACGTAGGGCTTATTACTACAAAACATACCAAGTGGCTGTATATAAAATAAAGTATAATCTTTTCTTCTAAACTTAAAATGTTGAAATTGATTGACTTATTAAACTTCAGACAAAACAAAATCCCTTAATCTATCCTGTTTTAAGTCAATCCATCAGGATTAACGACCCTTATCAAATAGAACACCTCTCATTTCTTAATGTTCACAGCTTAAAGGGATAATAACTCTTTGTATGAGATCTTTATTTCACAATAAAAACATTGTGAATAACTCATAGAAATATAATATATTCTGTTTTACCACAAAAATGGCAATTATAGCTATTATTCTGATATCTGAGCTTGTCTTTAGACCACGTGACCTCCATTGATGGCTATACTCTGTTAAAATCTCTTAAGTGATTTTAACAAAAAACCAAACTTTTTAGAAAAAAAACCAGGGACTAACTTTGAATGTAAAAATGGATTCATTAACCATTGGTAAGTATGGGAAAATTGTTGTTTACTCCAGGAAAATTCATTTTTTGGCCGAAACGAAGAGTTATTATCCCTTTAACTGGAAGTGAAAAATTGGCCATAACTGGCAATGTTTCAATGTCATGAAAGTCTCACACTCATGGAAATAAATATCACACACCAAGGGGGGGATAGATTACATGGCACTTAACGGGTACCAAACCAAATTTCTGCATGAAGTAGTGCAATCAATCCTACCCATGCCCTGTGACTTAACCAACCATAGTACATTGGTATGGAGCCAAAATGATGTTGAAACGGGACCATGTCACAAACCTGGTCTGTGAAAGTTTGGTGACAAAGGTTTTCCAGGTACTATCCTTCCAGAGGAAGCTCTTTTCAGGTAATTTGGGTCTCCATCCTTCAAGTAACTTGTGTTGTAGAATTTCCCAAACTCGAAGGATCTGCCACTCGAGCCCAAGGAGTCTCCCTGAAATAATAATAATAATAAATGCTCCATACCAATGCCATCATATTTTGTGAAAATTTTCACTATACCAATATGCAAATCACTGAATATAGCATAGTACATTGGCTATGTATCTTCCAAGGGAAACCTTTAATCCTTACCATATCATGTACTTATTACAAATGGATATAAACCTTTCATCTTTTCTTTGGACTTACTATAATGAATATAAACATTTGATCCTTACTGTGGACATTCTCCACAGAACATCAACCAATATATATATACAGACATGGATGTGCTATGATCACAATGTATATTCTATTGGGAATATTGTATATGAATCAATAGCCCATGTACTTTTAGCTGGAAAGTTGATTTGTGAGTTCACTTCACTATGCTGACAATGCTTGACAATGACACTCAGACTGAATCAATATGCATTATCTTTTATCTTCCATCTTAAATGCCAGCATATAAATATGACATGCAGAATTGTAACATCACAGTTACTTCATCTTAAAAATACTGTTTTGGGGCTAAATCAAACTAAATAAATTCAAAATAAAATATTTTACTATCTGCACAGAAACAGAATCATTGGCAGTATTAACCAAAGCAAAAAATGTAACATGCTATCAGTAATTAAGAAGTATCTTAAACATAAATATGTCTTCATTATTTCACTGGCAAACCTTACCCTTTTTCTGAACCCTTCTGATGAACTCTGACTACTGGTAGAATAAGGACTGGGACTGCGAAACTGCTCACAAGGGAGGAAATAAAAACAATCAAAACAACAATAAGCAAAAATAAATCAGATCACAACAAAACAAGGTCAAATCATAAAATTATGATTACAACAACAATACAAAACTACAACCTAATATGCAACAACAATGAACTCATGCACATAAGGAAAATACTGTCATTATATCAAAACATTAGAATATCATAACAATAAAAACAAAATGCTAACTAATACTAATAAATGTTGGTAACACAGATAGTGAACATCAATGCCAATGAAAACATCTTAAAATTCATGTGAAAGGAACTGAAAGACAGAAAAATGCAGTCATACACTACACCTCGATCACACAGCCTGTCATTTACAGATCCATTTCCAAGATGGCTGCCATACACCAGGAAAACTGACAATGGCAGCCATACTGGATGATCTTCGTATAGAAATTTCCTTGAGAAAAATGATGGTCCAACCTCAGATCCTCACGGAAAGGAAGATAAAAGTGGAGCTTAAGGAACTTGGTTTTTCAGACCAATGCAGGCAAATGTTCTAGGATTATAGATTATAAATACCAAAGTACTCCAGATGACACATCTTTAAATCAAGCAATTTCTGCAAACCCTGTCCATATACATAGATAATATAAACCAGTTCCACAGATATCAGTTGCACTGGTCATCAGAGACAACTGATCAATAGAAATACGCTTCAAACATCACAGAGATAAAAGAAAGCTATTAGAGAGAGGTGTAGAGCCATTGCCCTTGGGAGACATGGATATATTTTTGTGTAATTTGGAACAACCTGGATTCAATAATCAATAAAATCCTATCCCATATAGCTAATTATTTAACATTTGGTTGGTGTTTTCCACTCTCACTTTCATCAAAAGAAAAATCTAATTTTGTCTCACCATATAATGGTACTAGTTTGTTCATCTTTGCATGTCCTAGGTTTAAGTGCATTCATTCAGTTTCAGGTCAAATGAATGGTTTTCTAATTGCANAGGGGTACCAAACCAAATTTCTGCATGAAGTAGTGCAATCAATCCTACCCATGCCCTGTGACTTAACCAACCATAGTACATTGGTATGGAGCCAAAATGATGTTGAAACGGGACCATGTCACAAACCTGGTCTGTGAAAGTTTGGTGACAAAGGTTTTCCAGGTACTATCCTTCCAGAGGAAGCTCTTTTCAGGTAATTTGGGTCTCCATCCTTCAAGTAACTTGTGTTGTAGAATTTCCCAAACTCGAAGGATCTGCCACTCGAGCCCAAGGAGTCTCCCTGAAATAATAATAATAATAAATGCTCCATACCAATGCCGTCATATTTTGTGAAAATTTTCACTATACCAATATGCAAATCACTGAATATAGCATAGTACATTGGCTATGTATCTTCCAAGGGAAACCTTTAATCCTTACCATATCATGTACTTATTACAAATGGATATAAACCTTTCATCTTTTCTTTGGACTTACTATAATGAATATAAACATTTGATCCTTACTGTGGACATTCTCCACAGAACATCAACCAATATATATATACAGACATGGATGTGCTATGATCACAATGTATATTCTATTGGGAATATTGTATATGAATCAATAGCCCATGTACTTTTAGCTGGAAAGTTGATTTGTGAGTTCACTTCACTATGCTGACAATACTTGACAATGACACTCAGACTGAATCAATATGCATTATCTTTTATCTTCCATCTTAAATGCCAGCATATAAATATGACATGCAGAATTGTAACATCACCTAACCTAATCTTAAAAATACTGTTTTGGGGCTAAATCAAACTAATAAATTCAAAATAAAATATTTTAAAATCTGCACAGAAACAGAATCATTGGCAGTACTAACCAAAGCAAAAAATAACATGCCATCAGTAATTAAGAAGTACCTTAAACATAAACGTGTCTTCGTTATTTCACTGGCAAACCTTACCCTTTTTCTGAACCCTTCTGATGAACTCTGACTACTGGTAGAGTAGGGACTGGGACTGCGAAACTGCTCACAGGGGAGGAAATAAAAACAGTCAAAACAACAAAAAGCAAAAATAAATCAGATCACAACAAAACAACTAGGTTAAATCATAAAATTATGATTACAACAACAATACAAAAATATAACCTAATATGCAACAACAATGAACTCATGCACATAAGGAAAATACTGTCATCAAAACATTGGAATATCATAACAATAAAAACAAAATGCTAATTAATAATAATAAATGTTGTTCACACAAATAGTTAACATCAATGTCAATGATAACATCTTAAAATTCATGTGAAAGGAACTGAAAGACAGAAAAATGCAGTCATCCACTTCACCTCTATCACACAGCCTATCATTCCAGATCCATTTCCAAGATGGCTGCCATACACCAGGAAAACTGACAATGGCAGCCATACTGGATGATCTTCGTATAGAAATTTCCTTGAGAAAAATGATGGTCCAACCTCAGATCCTCACGGAAAGGAAGATAAGAGTGGAGCTTAAGGAACTTGGTTTTTCAGACCAATGCAGGCAAATGTTCTAGGATTATAGATTATAAATACCGAAGTACTCCAGATGACACATCTTTAAATCAAGCAATTCCTGCAAACCCTGTCCATATACATAGATAATATAGACCAGTTCCACAGATATCAGTTGCACTGGTCATCAGAGACAACTGATCAATAGAAATATGCTTCAAACATCACAGAGATAAAAGAAAGCTATTAGAGAGAGGTGTAGAGCCATTGCCCTTGGGAGACATGGATATATTTTTGTGTAATTTGGAACAACCTGGATTCAATAATCAATAAAATCCTATCCCATATAGCTAATTATTTAACATTTGGTTGGTGTTTTCCACTCTCACTTTCATCAAAAGAAAAATCTAATTTTGTCTCACCATATAATGGTACTAGTTTGTTCATCTTTGCATGTCCTAGGTTTAAGTGCATTCATTCAGTTTCAGGTCAAATGAATGGTTTTCTAATTGGGACTGAGATAATGCAGGAAAAGATGTGGAAAAAGGGTCCTTAGGGGATGAAGGTTACAACATGCAGCCATCAAATAAAAGGAACACTAAAATAAAGGGTGTATCCATTATATCTCTTATTAAGCATAAAAAAGAGATGATGGAAGATGATGATTTTCCCAATGTAAAATTATTTGAAACAAGACAGAGCTGGGATGCAAGGACCGACTGCTATAGGGACTGTGAATTCATTGATCAGAATACTTGGACAATAGTGTGACTGAAGTAATATCTATGACAAAAATATCATCAGCTATAGCTAGAACTGTTTAAATGATACAAAATAAATCAAATCAAATCAGTGAGATGATAACTGAATGCAATGCACAGAAGTCTATCTGATTCACTTTATACTTGGCAAAATGTGGCAAATCAAATTACAAATACATTAATCATACCATTGCATGTTTGATCTAATGCTACTGGTTGCCTAATCCATAGACATACACTCCACATGAAAGGATGAAAGACATGCCTCTGCCACTTTCATTTCTTCTTCACATTTCATGGGCACATTTGTCAGTCTGATGCACAATGGACACTGTAACATATGGCTCCAGCAGAAACGGAATAAAAAACTCCACTTCAGTAGTCTCTGAATGCATCATGTATGCCCAAACTGTGTAGAAACCAAACCAACTGGAAAACGGCAAGCCTCAGAGAGATAAATGGGTTTTCTATATATCCTTAAGCTCTCTGCTCAGTCTAACTGCACATTAGACTCTAGACAAGCATAGCCAGCTCCATCAGGCACTTGCTATCTATTATCTGTTAATTCTGTTTCCATATAACACAAATCTCAAAAGGCAATTTAGATAACCGTGATTACATCTCTAAGGAAGCAGAATAACAATTTGGAAGGGCCTATTCTTACCATTATTTTCCTTCTATTTCCTGTCATAATATGTCTAAAAAACTCATCAGAAACCAAGAACAGAACCAAGACCGCTACTTGTCCTGATTAGATGCTGTTATCGGGGCAAGAACTGCAATTCCAATGAGAAAATCAATGGCTTCTTCTATATTTCCTCTTAAATAATTTCCCAATATGACATATTTTCCATGGGCAAGGAGTGAATATCAGCACACCATTCTATTCACATGATAGCATTCACGGGACGTTTTGTTTGTCAATCCAAAATTGGCTGTTCCAGAGTATTCAGATATTGATTAATAAAGAAGACTTGTGTCTGTGTCTATATGTGCCCACATTACATCCCTTCCCATGAGGAGGTTGTGGGGGGAGTTCCTCATATTTCACTTAAAATGTTTTTATATTCATCTATAAAGGTACATGTAACTTAAAAGAAGGACATATGGGATATTGTATGCCATCGTTTGGTGATACTAGATGACCCTTGGGTCTAAAAGATATTTGCACAGAACAAAGTGCCCATCGATTCAGCATCGTAACTCATATCATTTATAGAAGATGTCGAAATCATACTGTAAATTCATAGAATATTTCCTTGCAGAAGATATACATAGGATGCGAAATGCTTTCATTTTTTTTTTCTTTGGCCAAAAATTTCTGATTTGTTACTTTCTTCTTATACAACAATGAAAAAAATAACACTTAATATTTCTACAATTAAGGTTGCCATCTCTTACTGGCACATGCCATTCATATAAAATTCCATCCAATAAGGTGTTTTTAAAAATATATCCATTAGCATTATATGACAATATAAGGCAAATCTCATTGTAGCCTAAACCAATATCAACCATATCAAGTTGATACCATAGGATACTTAGTTCTAAAAGATCACAATTATATACAGTTTCAATTCAGTTATTAAGGTTTGTAATTTCCATACAATTTTCTTTATTAGATTAGCCTGAAGCCAATCAACTCATTTTGATCATCATTAAACACATTATGATCTATAAAAGTATCACTATCCATGATCAGTCACTTAGTAAACTGGGATAAGGCAATGTATCCCCTGCTGGGTAGATGAGGGGATGGAGAGTTTGAAAGGGGGAGGGGTGTGGGGGGGGGGGGGGTGCAGGGGGGGTGCAGGGGGGGTGCACTTCCCATGAGACAGCTACTTAAATCTTGGGCAATTTGGTCAGGTCCTACTGAACATCAATGAGATCTCACTTAGACAAAATGATTATTTCTTCCAATTCCAGAATTCATCCTCCAGAAAATGAGAGTCAGCAGTTAGCTGATAATAACTGTTTCCAACCTAGAGGTGTAATCAGGTGTTAATTGACTCCCATCTTTCAACATCATAAAGGACGATAGTTATATGGCAAAGCTGAGATATTATTGGGGGGGGAATGTGTAGATAGACTCTGTGCTCAAATATTGATTATTACATATATTAGACACAGACTCTCAGTGTAGCCTCCCATCTCTCTCTCTATACACACACACACACACACAAACACACACAAGACATTCATACCCCCTTCACACTACAGTTGCCAAAATGCGCATTTCTATAATTTGGATTTTTCGTAAGGAATCCGATTTGGTATTGCGTTCACACTCGCTAAGCGAATCCGAATCCCACGTTGAAAATTTCAGGTTTAACTTCCTGTTTTGAACACTCGCGCATGCGCCGCACAGGAAATCTTAAAATATCAACAAAAATTTGTGACGACAAATGCAACTCAAAAGACATTCCAGCATTCTTGAGAAGTATAAGGTGGCAAAATAAGTTTGTTTCCTCATGTTGTAGTGAGTGGTGACCTCCAAATACGTTTGGTGCAATCGCTAAAGTAATAAACCAGCGTTCATAGATACCCGCACTTATCTGCACACATGCGCAGTAAGATCTGTACAGGTGTCGATTCCGGTAAGTTATCCGGATCGCGCTTAGAAATCCACCTCACTTGCAGGATTTTGAAAATGCACATTTTCAAAATCCTCTTGTGTTCACACCACTGCATTTATTCGAATTGTGACCTAATTTGCAACTTATCCGGATAACTGAGCGTAGTGTGAACAGGGTATCAGAGAAATCTGTCACAAAATCTCCATGTAGAGAAAGCCGTCAATGAACTCTATGTACTAACTAAATACCACAGAACTGTGATGCAATAAACATCTAGGAAAAAAACTACTAAGTAATAACGAGCAACACTCTTTTCCAAAACAAACACAATGTCTGTGTAAACAGTGAGGGGGGAGTTGTGACTTCTGTGGAACTGGTTAGAAAATTGTTTTGGAGGGGAGCCAGTATTTTGCCACATTTATCCTCTTAAGCACCTATTCGTCTTCTGTTACCTATTTGTCTACATATAATAGTATGTTTTAAGAAATAATCTGTAATTCTTATATTCCTCACATACTGCAGTCTGCTTAAATTGAGATAATTGGGTTATAGAACGAATTAAATCAGTATCAAAGGAGTAAAAAAAGCACAGATCTAGAAGAGACATAAAGCAGTGGCAGAAACTAGGGTGGGATACGAAATAAAGAGGAGAGGGATGAAAGAGGTTACTAGTACAGTACCAGTACATACTCTGGGGTAGCGCTAAGTTACACTCGCCAATTTAGCCAAATGCTAAAACTTACTTAAATTGGCTAAAGTAAAAGGACTTGATTTGGCTTGTTTTAGTCAAATTATAACCATTTTGATAAAAAATTGACAAAAAAGTGGCGATTTGGCTAAGCGACAAAAATTGCTAGCGCTACCCCATATAGTATACTCCACTATAAGGAACCACATGCACAAAGTTGATGGCGCTGATGAAGACAAAGGGATGATGCCATAGTTATGAAGATAAAGAAGATAGTGGCCATGACTCATCTATATACAATGCATTCCACTTTTGTGCTTCTGTTATTAGTTCCCATAAACTTTTACTCACCACCTGGTCACTTGGTGATAACTGGCCATCCATACTCATGGGAGAACCTAGAATTAGAAAGTGCCATTGTGGAGATTCATAGATAATTCATCAACAAATTGCTGGGCAGCAACTGTCTCTTGATTGTCTCTTAATTGATTGCAAATGTTTTGTGTTATTACCACATTTACACTGCTAGTTTCAATTTTCTGACAATAGATGTAACAATTGTAGTGTTTTTAAATATTAGCATTTCATAAAACCTAAGTGTAGATATATTTTAATATGCTACCCTTCTAAAAATCAGTAAATAAACTAAACATTGCCAACTACGTAAAATACTGGCAATTCTCTGGAAAAGGAATCAATCCCAAAGACCCTTGCAGGCAAAAGCACATGTACACCACTGGATACTGAACCATTATTCTAACCACAATTAACTGTGTATGAGGTACTTTCCCAGTAATTGTTCTCCCTCTTTTTCAAGGTACATAGTGACATCTGAGCATCAATCAATGCCAGACTGGCTTGCGTAATACAGACATCGCTCTGTGGTGCGTGAATACACCTACATGCATGTCATAATAACCTACTCCATCCAGGTGTGAAAACTATTGTTCTGAAAACAACTAGGTTAACAATCAATTAACTGCTGTTTTTTTTTTTCTTCTGGCATGGTCATGGGTGAAAAGAGAGGCATATTCAATATTGTTTTTATAGATCTACTAACATCTGTTTGTATTCGGTGATAACATATGTGCTGGTTAACACAACAATCCATGTTGTGTGCCACTAGATAAAATACTGCTACATGACTTTACTTATCACAAACAATACATAAAAAAAGTTATGCATTTCACAACTTACCATCAGTCAGCTTCATACTGGCTAGATGAGTTCTTATTTAATCCTTTTTAACTAACCAAAAAGCTAATATATCCAAACTCATTGGCATAGCTAGAAAAAAACTTGTCAGTGGTCAGAGAAGTTAAGGCTACATTTCTACTGTTATGCTAGACATATACTAAGAATGACTACCACTTGCGCCTCTAGGAGTTCAGAGACTTATTTGGCGTTCCAGTTTCTGAAGAACTGAGTCAGCAAGAAGAGGGCATAAAATCTACATACCTAAGGCAAAGGTGGCTTATAAATCAAGGTAAAACCATGCTGATAGTCTTATCAAATGAACACATCGTGATCACTGTACAGTACCAACCCCTAAGGAGTTTCCCTGCTAAAACAGTTGCTCTTTTTTGCATGCAGTAAGTGTGGTGTTTACCTCCTGGCAGGCAAAATCTATAGAACATATCCAGTATATCTTGAAGTTACCACCTTCATTATCAAGCTTCAGATCTCATGTCTACATTTCTCTGGAGTGCTTCAACAAAAATACAGCATACCTTCGTGTCTGTAATCTAATGTATATCCCCCTTAATGAGGCCTGGTGGGTGTGAAAGGCAATATTTTGAATTTCTATGTCAGTTTTTATATTCAAGTCTTGGTGCTGGCATTTTTATTAACCTAATCAATGCAAAGTTGCTTGTCATAATGCTGCTGAAATATTCTTTTTTGAAAATATTAATGATAGAATGAGCTTCTGACATTCAGAATGAAAATAATCATAACAGTTGTCTATGTCTTATTTCTTTCTGTCTCCTTGTACTATTATATCACCTTAATGCCAAAACTTAAAACCACAGACAGCACCCATTTGATCAAAGTGTCCATTCCTACAAAACACTACTAAATATACAACGAACAAAAGCATATGCTGACCACTATATCAGTGTTGTTTCAACCATACCATACTGACCCTTAAAGCACAAATAACATCAGCATGTGTAAATATCTGCTTACTTCTATTTGCTGGCTACTACAGCTGCATGTGTGGTGTTAGGACCACTTCAAAGGGAACCAGAAAACAAAGTGGTTTCTTTGGGTTAAAAATAATGCTGACCCTGATCAAAGAAAGATACTGATTACGCACCTACCTGAGATCCACTGCTCCTTTTATGAATTCAAAGTGTCTTGCAAACAACACATTTCCGTATGCTATATCATACAAATGTAAATCACACATCTTAATGTACAATATAGCATAACGTAATGCAGTTCAAAACTGACTGACTCACTCCAAGTTTAAATAGGCCAATCTAAAATCTTGAATGTTTAAAAATGCCTGACCAAAAATGACTCAACGATGATGCTAGTTATTATAACCATGACGAGAAGACAGTAAGTTGTTTGGCTAGCTGCCCCTGATCGCTGTCATAGTACCCTGAACCGGGTCCACAGTAATAAATAACTAAAACTAGGCCAGAGGTTTTCAAATGGACCATGGCATCAACATCTGTATCTACTCACATGTAACCACTCCAACACTATGTCTGATCCGCGGGGCGCCTCCTTTACCTCCTTCGCCTCCACCCTGATGTCCGCGATCTCATTTCTTTTTTCCTTACTAATATTTGACCTGGTGGCAAGTTTCTGTAGCAACATCTGTTTCTGAATGGCTAGCATAGCAATTGCATTTCACCACACCTCCACCATACAGCCTCTAACGTCAATTCACTTTGGCACTCCATACATTTCCCTCCATTCAACAGAAAGTGAACTTTGGTCAAAGTGTTCTTGTACATTAGGATTTCGACACATTTCTTGGCAACCTGGTAAACACTTGTGAACTTTTCAGACACAAAGGGAGGGACGGGTCAATTAAAATGAATCCAGTCACACCCTCAAACTACCATTATAATGAACCTGAGCACTGGAATGTTTTGAAGGATTTGGCTCCAATGGATATCATAACTTTATAGAGAGCTGGGAGATGTCAGTCACTGCCAGGCAGTCAGATCCCGCCATCAGAGTGGAAGATTCATATCAATATTTTGATAATGATAATGTAATCTCAATGGCCACATTGATCAAACAGAGGCAGATGAAACTAAAATGTGTTTGAGACTTCATCTATGTAATCTACACACATTGACTGAAGAAAGAATTCACTGAAGGATGGAAACTAGGATTGTGAAAATAAAAAAAAAAAAATTCCTTGCTCATTAGACATGACTGCAAAACCAAATAAATAAATAAATAAATAAATAAATAAATAAATAAATAAATAAATAAAAGAAAAAATACAAAATGAAGTTTGGAATTTCTCTCTCTCTCTCTTCTTCATTTTTTAAGAGAGGAAAACTAACTTTGCACCCCGGATATATCCCACAACACAAATGCAGTGAAATACAATATCAGTAGAACTTTCATCCTTCATGATTTCTATAAAGGCCAAGGCCAAATAAATAAACCTACTGATCCCATACTAAAATGAGGTGGATACCTATTAAAATGTGTTTAGACTTCAATTTTTTCATCCCTGAGCAGATAAAGGTAAAAATAATTTGACAGTAACTTTGACCAAGTAGAACAGAGACTCAGAGAGCTGTTTTTTAAAACTTTGTTAAAACATGAACATGTTGTGAACATTGTAAAGCTCTCTCACACTCTGTCAGAGTGGGTAAAGTTAACACCTGTCACAATAATATGGCCTCCTTTACCAACACTGTAATATAAACACAACCACACACTAAACCCTTAACAGACCATAGAATCATCTGCCCTGCATAATGATACTTCAAAATACCTTTTTTACAGCCATTATGTGGCTAATCAACACACATTTGTCGAATAGGAAATTAAAATGATAGAAAATACCCAGAGACTGCTGCATTAAGTGACTGACACGACCACAATATCCTCTTTGACCTGACGTAACAAGATGCTTATTTTCACAATTAAAGGAAAATACCATCAATGTTATGTGAGAAAAAGCATGAAGGCTGTAGTGGACAAATATGAACTCCAGTACACATTTAATAGACATAAGGGTGATGTTTACTTTACATGATATTCATGTTCATTTGGACTTGTTTTACTGTGCTCAACATAAGTCAAATCAAGTGATTTGCATATTACTCTGTGATAAGACGTTAAGTCTTATAATAATTTTTTTAAAGATAACAACATGAGGAAATGACATTGAGGGCAAAAAAAAAAGAAAAAAGAAACGAGATGATGAATAGTCATGCAAAGATTTTTGGTGGAATGTGGTTCACTACCAGCAATTTTTTTGTTCCAATAGTTATCTTTCAACAAAATGTTATATACATATTAAAAAGGATGTTACCAGGGTACAGTGTGACACCACATTTTACTATTCAATATTTATCGCTGACAGAACCAATATGGCAGTATGTAAATAACAAGATTGGCCAGCGTCTTCCTCCAGTGAAATGTTGTCTGTAGGCAATGCATATAGCACTGTTAAGATTTCCCCAGTCTATGGTTTAACATAAAGGCATTATAGCAATAGGTCTTTTTAACTTCAGGCTACTCTCTCCTTATTGACATTGGCAGAATACCTAGAAAATGGAGCACTAACAAAACAGAAATAAATTTGTGAAGTGTTCTTGGCACTGAATATCTTCGATCATCTGCCGCAAAGGTGAATTTTAAGGAGGTTACCCAACTCCCAATCCATGAGCATCAATGTGTGCCAAATGGTGTTCATTTTCCAATCTTTGTGACAAATGATTGTATTAATAACAAAATATATTATATAAATGTGGGTTCAAATCTGTTTACATGTATAGTTGTGCCATATTGCAGCAGACAGCCTGTTCCTTACAATTAAACCACAAAAGTAGCTCTTGTAGTATCATATAAGCCAATTATGCCATATATACATTCTTTTCTCTCCTACTAATTACACGATATTTTTTCAAACCTAGAATACACTTCACCCCCATACTACTAATGATAATAATACCTTTTCCAATATTCCCTCATGACAATAAATTAAATGCACCAGCTAAGCAGTAGCAAGCAATATTAGCAATATAATATGGTGTGCAGGTAATCATAATCGTTCTGTAAGTTTGCACTCATCAAACTGCTCAAAGAAATCTCACAAATAAACTTTAAATGGGTTTCATACCCTTCACTAAGAAGAAATCTGGTGCCTTCCCTGACCAGGCACAAATTAGTTTAAATACTTACTAACTGAGCTGGAAGGATCTCCATTGACTTTCACATCTGGATTAGAAGGGCCGTTTGCTACTGGCTGCATGGTGTCAGTGGCTGGAATAGAACCAGAGAACACAGGTTTAGATTAGAGTTGCATCACTCCTATGCCACCTACATGCACACATACTAAATACAAAACCAGGTATATATTATCAATATGCATACCTGTGCAAGAAACTGGCAAGTTATCATCCAAAGCACCAGCCCATGCAGAAGTGTGTGTGTGCGTTTGTGTATATATAGACAGTTGACTAGACTGCAGGTACTAACTGCTGTGTTGCCCCACGCTTTCTCTATAATAATCCAATTTACAGATTTGACCTTGTTCTGAGTTCACAAAACGCTGGCTTGCTTTGCCTTATGGAATATATGGATGGGAACTAAATAAAACCACAAATCGTTAAAAAAAAATTCAGAGGAACAAAATAAATGTTGGCACTAAATCGGTTCTGATCTGTTCCGCACACAAACCAACAAATCATGGCCAGATGGTAATTTCTTCCTGGGAGGAATGTGGCAGTGGTATTTGGTTATCTGATTCACGATGTTGTGAAACAACTCTGCTGAAAAAGCAGTCTTCCTGTAAGTTCCAGACCCTGCTCTTAAGAATACTTATGCAGGATCAAAATAGTTGAAAAAGAGGCATCAATATATCATGGTCCCGTGTGTAAGATAAATTAGTGGCACAAGGTTTATTTTGCTACTTGTGCCAACAGTTATTTCCAGCATCATATGCAAGTCATTGATCTTTAAAGCATTTGCCATCTAGTTATCCTTTCAGCAATATTTAAATATCTTTTAACTCTACCAATTTGGCTCCACTTGGATCCTTCCAACATATATACATCCTCATTAGACAAAGAAGCCTACTGGTGATATAGGCGAGACGAAAATGTAAGCATGTCGTCAACATATATATCCTTATACCATTAGCATCTAGGTGGTTTTATTACAATATAAAGGACAACTGATCAGTCATGCTAGGAATTCTTATAGGCTCTGCCTGTGACCCGCCAATGAGGCCATGTTCTAAATCATTAGACTATAAAATGTGCCTAAGTTACCAATAAACAGCATTAACTACTAAAGGGGTTCCCCTTTTCAGTTAAGTGGCGCTACTACTCTCAAGGATCATCAATATTCTGCCTTTCTGCCCTCTCCTAAACCTCTTACTACCTACATGATGCATGTATTTCACAAGTCATCAATACATACTCCTTATGATCTCTTCTCATTAGGTGATGTTTAAAATACCTGGTCGTGGTTAAATGCCAATCTAACCATCCCCTCGCTCACCTTGATGTCCCCCTCACCGGAGCCAAAACATAAGGAAGATATCTCATGTTACACTACAGAGGATTCAGCCACTATTTATGCAAGCATTCTAATGGCATTTTTTGACAATTAATCTCAAATTTCTTATCCTTAACAGGTGATCCTTGGTTGTACCCATCGAGATCAGTGAAATGCCGACTATTTTTGTTATCTGAATTATGATGGAATCCAGGCAATGGGTATTTCTGTCAGAATGATGTTCTCCACCCAACTTGATATTATATTNATATATCACTAACAGAACCAACATGGCAGTATGTAAATAACGAGATTGGCCAGCTTCTTCCTCCAGTGAAATGTTGTCTGTAGGCAATGCATAGCACTGTTAAGATTTCCCCAGTCTATGGTTTAACATAAAGGCATTATAGAAATAGGTCTTTTTAACTTCAGGCTACTCTCTCCTTATTGACATTGGCAGAATACCTAGAAAATGGAGCACTAATAAAACAGAAATAAATTTGTGAAGTGTTCTTGGCACCAAATATCTTCGATCATCTGCCGCAAAGGTGAACTGTAAGGAGGTTACCCAACTCCCAATCCATGAGCATCAATGTGTGCCAAATGGTGTTCATTTTACAATCTTTGTGACAAATGATTGTATTAATAACAAAATATATTATATAAATGTGGGTTCAAATCTGTTTACATGTACAGTTGTGCCATATTGCAGCAGACAGCCTATTCCTTACAATTAAACCACAAAAGTAGCTATTGTAGTATCATATAAGCCAACTATGCCATATATACATTCTTTTCTCTCCTACTAATTACATGATATTTTTTTGAATACCTTCTAGAAAACACTTCACCCCCATACTACTAATGATAATAATACCTTTTCCAATATTCCCTCATGACAATAAATTAAATGCACCAGCTAAGCAGTAGCAAAAAGCAATATTAGCAATATAATATGGTGTGCAGGTAATCATCATCATCCTTCTATAAGTTTGCACTGATGGTCTTATCAACGAACTGCTCAAAGAAATCTTACAAATAAACTTAAAATGCATTCTCCTGAGAAAAAAATCTGGCACAAATTGGTTTAAATACTTACTAACTGAGCTGGAAGGATCTCCATTGACTTTCACATCTGGATTAGAAGGGCCGTTTGCTACTGGCTGCATGGTGTCAGTGGCTGGAATAGAACCAGAGAACACAGGTTTAGATTAGAGTTGCATCACTCCTATGCCACCTACATGCACACATACTAAATACAAAACCAGGTATATATTATCAATATGCATACCTGCGCAAGAAATTGGCAAGTTATCATCCAAAGCACCAGCCCATGAAGTGTGTGTGTGCGTTTGTGTATATATAGACAGTTGACCAGACTGCTGGTACTAACTGCTGTGTTGCCCCACGCTTTCTCTATAATAATCCAATTTACAGATTTGACCTTGTTCTGAGTTCACAAAACGCTGGCTTGCTTTGCCTTATGGAATATATGGATGGGAACTAAATAAAACCACAAATCGTTAAAAAAAATTCAGGGGAACAAAATAAATGTTGGCACTAAATCGGTTCCGATCTGTTCCCCACACAAACCAACAAATCATGGCCAGATGGTAATTTCTTCCTGGGAGGAATGTGGCAGTGGTATTTGGTTATCTGATTCACGATGTTGTGAAACAACTCTGCTGAAAAAGCAGAGTCTTCCTGTAAGCTCCAGACCCTGCTCTTAAGAATACTTATGCAGGATCAAAATAGTTGAAAAAGAGGCATCAATATATCATGGTCCCGCGTGTAAGATAAATTAGTGGCACAAGGTTTATTTTGCTACTTGTGCCAACAGTTATTTCCAGCATCATATGCAAGTCATTGATCTTTAAAGCATTTGCCATCTAGTTATCCCTTCAGCAATATTTAAATACCTTTTAACTCTACCAATTTGGCTCCACTTGGATCCTTCAAACATATATCCTCATTAGACAAAGAAGCCTACTGGTGATATAGGCGAGACAAAAATGTAAGCATGTCGTCAACATATATAATATCCTTATACCATTATCATCTAGGTGGTTTTATTACAATATAAAGGACAACTGATCAGTCATGCTAGGAATTCTTATAGGCTCTGCCTGTGACCCGCCAATGAGGCCATGTTCTAAATCATTAGACTATTAAATGTGTCTAAGTTACCAATAAACAGCATTAACTACTTAAGGGGTTCCCCTTTTCAGTTAAGTGGCGCTACTACTCTCAAGGATCATCAATATTCTGCCTTTCTGCCCTCTCCTAAACCTTTTACTACCTACATGATGCATGTATTTCACAAGTCATCAATACATACTCCTTATGATCTCTTCTCATTAGGTGATGTTTAAAATACCTGGTCGTGGTTAAATGCCAATCTAACCATCCCCTCGCTCACCTTGATGTCCCCCTCACCGGAGCCAAAACATAAGGAAGATATCTCATGTTACACTACAGAGGATTCAGCCACTATTTATGCAAGCATTCTAATGGCATTTTTTGACAATTAATCTCAAATTTCTTTTCCTTAACAGGTGATCCTTGGTTGTACCCATCGAGATCAGTGAAATGCCGACTATTTTCGTGATCTGTATTATGATGGAATCCAGGCAATGGGTATTTCTGTCAGAATAATGTTCTCCACCCAACTTGATATTATATTATATTAATAGAACATAACATGACAAATTATCATCCAACCTGGGACGAGTTTTGGTTTATTTTTGACCCAGTTAAGCATGGCTGCATGACTAAGATTCATTTGTTGAAGATAATGAGATATAATTTATATCCAGGTCAGGACTAAAAACGAGGACTACACATTACGAAAGTTACATATCGACCGTCTTCTAATCTGGCTTTGACATCTCCTAAAGAAAGTAAATTCTCTGGTGTTTTTTTACTGAAAATATTAGCCAAACCTTAATCATTCCTAAAAGGATGCAGACATGCCAATCTAGTTTTATGATGGAAAGGACTGTTATAATTAGTTTGCCTACAGGTTTTAGTTATACAGGCTTTCAGTGCAATTATTGATTGATTGTCACACCTAAACCTCATACATTGACATTATATGGCTAAAATACATTTCCTTGCCGAGAGCTCATTTATATCATTTGAACTGAAAATGCAGAAAATGTATGATTGTATACACCATCTGTTTTTAAAAATATTTTGATATGTATACCTTTACAAAATATTCACCTGAAATATTTATTGATTTATCTCCACACCTTCTATTTACACATTAAAACATGTGAAAGCCTTCAGCAGGCACATATCACATCCCAACCCCACCTCCATATAATTACATACAAATAACATATTTTCCTATCACTAGCATACTTATAATACTTATATCACCTGTATTTTGTCTCTTGCACAGATAGGCAGTCCAACTGCTGCACCAAGAACTACTGGACCCTGACATTATGCCTCAATCCTTGAATTTCCTAGAATTTTTTTCTGAAATGAGTTCTCCTAGACTGCTAAAATTCTTGTAATTATCAGTAGGAGATCACTAAATGTGCTGCTCCCAGTCTATACCATCCTGTCCCATAGGCTACAACACCATCTGTATGCTACAGCTAGCAAATGACCCTAGACACCAAATAGATTATAGTCTACGCTGGGTCAGACTGCAGCTTCCACCACAGCCATTGAGCCAGCCAGTCTCAGAAGTGCTACACTACACTCTAAACTCTCATGCAACTGTTCACATATAATCTGCTTGAAAGCCATCTGGTGATGGATGAGGAGTTTGAATAATATGCCGTCCCTCAGAAATGTATGGATTTTGTACAATATCATACTCGCAGACTACCTTGTATTGAATTCCTATTGAGAACCAGAAGACAAATTGACAGATGGGAGTCAAGAAATATGG